GCCTCGTACTTCGAATTTAATTCATTCCAAGAGGCCATTCGAACTCCGAATCAATTTTCCCCATTATTCATAATGGAAAGTAAATTAACCGGTTGACGCTTCTTTTATTCATTTATTAATAATTCATTCTCACTCACCCGTAAAAGTTAGATGAGAAGGTTCGATTTCCAATTTATTACTCATATTTATATTTAATTTATAATTAAAATCTTTCCGTTCGAGTCGTGAATTGAAATTATAGTTCGTAACGGAACCGAATTTTAAAATTCAAAAATTTACATTTGACGAATGATGGCGCTTCGCTATATAAATTGTATTTTTCGAATTTAGATGTTTTAAAAAAAAAATTGAATTAAAAAAAATTCGATATATGTTCAATTGATTTGTTTATAATAATTTATTAATTTAAATAGTTTACATTGTTCGTTATAGTTTAATACGTTTGTAAAAAATGCTATAGATACAATCCTCGCTCCTATAGGGGTCGTCTATATATTACGTTCTCCTAGGAGGCTGAAGACTGACGATGTTTGATGACGAGAGGAGGCGGTTGTGTGAAGACTACTACGCATTTTTTGTAGCTTATTTTTGATGATTTAACAAAAGAACTGAAAAATCTTGGTTTGACATTAAAAGGTGAGGGCGCCAATAGAACTAAACTTCCTTATAATGCATATTGCCCATTCATTCAGTCAGCATTTAATATGATCTTTAGGCTCTCTTTCTACTACAAAAAAAAAGTATTATTACATAGAAAAAAGATGTACGGTATAAAAATACACGGGCTTCAATATGAGCATTTTATTTCAGGATGAATGAAATTTATACGTAATGCTTCAGCAAGAAGTCTGATCGAACATTCGAAAATCAATAGTGTCCGATCAGTTGCAGCAGTTAAAAAGTATTGCTGCCGTAATACAACGCGAATTAATGACAATACTGAAAGGTTTAATTTTTATGGGCGGTTGCACAATTATACAAGAGATATTTTTCATGATTTGTGAGTTCTGATCACCAATATCTGAATTATTAGATTTAAGTTCATTAATAATATTATAGATTCGAGGACAAAAGAATTGCAAAGTCTGAAAACCAAGTATTCAGGTATAGTCCCGGAGTGTCCAAATTATTTCTGAGAAGGGCAATGTGAGCTATAAAAGAGTACTCTGGAAATCAGGCACGAAACATATAGTCGAAGGATTAAGGGTTTTTTTTATTACTGAATAACAATGGACATAAATCAATGTGAAATTTGCAACTGCTTTAAATTTGAAATTATTTCGAAAAAAATAATGCCATCAAAATTGGAGATAAATTTTGTGGCATCCAAAATGAAAATCATCAGATATTAGTTTGTACACTGATGTTTTACTTTATATATTTTCGAAAAGCTCATCACTGAACACGCTTCACCAATGGGCTTGCCATGTGAAATTTTCTAGGTTTTCTTCACGTGTCTAACACCTAAATAGGGCTATTTCCCAAAGAAAGGGGAAATACCTCTAAAGAGATATCCCTCTTTAGAGCCATTCCTCTTGTTAGATCGCCCAGGTGTTGCATTACTCTATTCCATTAATCTTATCATATTTTCGAAAAGGTTTGTTCGTAAAGGTACGTAAAACTAATACAGTAATAGCAAAAATTTAACGCTATAATATTTAAATAAATTTTCTCAATAATTTATAATTTTTTTAAAATTATATCCGCTTATTTTTTAATGNAAATGGCTTGAAATTGAACGACTAATTAAGTTTTTATTAATACACTTATCTTAACGCCTACACGCTGATATTGCATTCTATAGCCGCATTGCATAACATCCGTATTGACTATTATCCTCCATAAAACATCAAATCTTAACTATCTATTTATAAATTTAACTAACGAAAATATTTACCTTTAACTAATGGGGGTGTACAGGTTAAATATATTACCTCATAAGCCTATTTTACTGTATTTAGGCTACCGTCAAGCCCTATAAACACAATTTCTAATTTTATTTTATTTTATTTATTTGTGTGCTGTTACGATTCATTTCTGTTTATTCGAAGACACGAACGATTTTTTCTTACTTAAATTTAAAATGAATTTAAATGTTATTATTTAAAATTCTTTTCGAAAAGACACTTATTTACATGACAACTACCAGTCGACCCCCCCTATAACACTGTTGATTTTTCCGTTTTATATGAATTCCATGTTGTACGAGTCACTTAGATTTTACAAATACGTGTTCCGGGCTCTGAACGGCTCACGTATTTGTAAAATCTAAGTGACTCGTACAACATGGAATTCATATAAAACGGAAAAATCAACAGTGTTATAGGGGGGTCGACTGGTAATTCACTTTAATAATACAAAATGTTTATTGTGTAAACTGTGTTTTTGTTATGCGTTAGAAATAAGTAAAATTGTATTAAATAATGCGGAATTTATAAAGAAAAATTTATCGAATTATAAAATATAAAAGTTTGTTTTTAATTGCGAAAAAAATCACTTTGTTTTTAAAGTTTGTATTTAAAAATATTGATGTTAAATATGCATTTTTTTTAATATTTTAAATTAAAATTGAATATTTAAGAGAAATATTCAATATTATCACTTTAGACAAAAAAATATTCATTAAATTATCTTAATGATAAGTCTATTTGTTGTGCAAAGTTCATAACGTATACAGTACAGAAGTTTTATTGTAACTTACTTATTATATTATACAGTGTTATTGTTATACAATCATCGTTATACTATGATATATATACTATATATACATAGTATATGATGTATATACTATATATACATCGTTATTCAGAAGTTATCGTGGATTGCATATACAGTATTATAGATCTATAATTTATTACTTAATAAGTTTGATTTTTATAGCTATTTTTAAATAAAATTTGATGAATGATAGTCTATGAAACTGTAATAAAATTTTGAAAATGTAGTAAGTTTTTCATCCTTATAAATTACATTAATATATAGGCCTATATATTGATTTATTGTTATCTAATTACATTTAAGTATGTTATAGATTGAAAGATGAATCATTTTCGAAGTATTTTTATCTGTTAATTTTGTTAAATTAAATAAACTTTCAACAGAATATAATAACTTATTTCTCTTTTATTTCATCTCAAAATCGTTTTAATTGCGCTTGTAACTTAATCCAAATCAAATCGGGAGTGATGATAATTAAGAAATTAGTTAAAAGAATTTACGATATTACAACATTTCGCATTATCAAGAGATATAATTTATAATAATAGATGACTCAAACTTTCTTGCACTGATTTATAAAATATTTCGCTTTTAATTAGTCATCTATTTGATAACAAATTGTTTTTCTGTCTACTAAATTACTTACGTATTAAGTAAATTATTACTATATTTACTTTATTAAATAATAGTAAATACTGGGCTATAATAAGGTATTTACTACTGTATTTAATAAATTACTTATATATATAGGCCTATATGTGTGTGTGTGTGTGTGATCAGACAGCGTTATGCTGTATCTTACAGCCTTTTCGTTTTCTGTAATACTTTGAAAAATACAGAAAAATGTTTTATAGCATTTTATACACTTATTGACAAAATTTTAATTACATAAAAATTTATTTTATTGCAATTTCTTACGGGTAGACACTGTTACAAATTCTTCCCCTCCATTCACGAGAGGATTAATAATAAACATTTTAAACCCTCTTTTGTTATTACCCAGTACCTCACCCAGCATGGGAACTTTAACAGTTACCGCTACCGCTTTCGGGAAACAAACTCTAAAATATGTGATATCGACAACGACCAAGAAGATGACGTAAATCATTTCTTATACGAATGTACCAAATATGAAAATCAACGCACCCAGTTCGAGGTCGTATGCCTCCATGCAGGCTACTAATGAAAAGGACCCTTTTTAGGGCGTTCAGCGAATTCATCACCAGGATCAGGACTCTCACCCAGATCACCTATTTACGCCAACGTATGTTGAGCCCAACCAAATGAGCAATAATGACTTACCAGCTTCTACTGACATCAACAATGATAATAAGGACGAGGAAAACTGCTATGATGTGGTCTGTAACTATCCGATCAGTAATGACCAGGACATTTTGTTGCCCATCCACCACTGACTGTGTGTGTGAAGTTTTTGTGCTCTCAGATACTGCACTTATCCTTTGCGTTTATCTGAAATGTCGGCACAACCAATTTTCTTTTGTGTTTAACTTCCCAACCTTTTGTATTCTCTCTCCGGTGGTGGAAAGCAGTGCAGTGTTTATCTTTATGTAAATGATGCTCCTTACTGTTCGAATTTTTCCTATTGTAATACCAACATCACTGTGCCTTTATTGTCGTGCTCGGGCTATTGCTTTGTGCATATGTCTTTATTTCTGTTATTATTTTTTGTATATTGTTTTTACTGCATATTTTGTTCTTTGTTTTCTATATTGTAACCCATCCATTATTGTAAATATCTATGTATTCATCCCATTTTGTAATTTTTGTATAATTTTGGTCCTAATAAATTCCGATGCAGCTCTTGGGTCTCAATTCATTTCCACTTTTCAATCAATCTTACTATTTCTTTTTCTCCATCTTAAGTTCTTCCCAGCCTTCTTTCTTTTCAACCCTTAGGGCAAAGTCAGTTTACATAACAGCCTTTTAATCCTATAACAATAACAACTTGTTAGCAATATGTTTTTCTTCCATTCAGTTAATTTAAGTGTTTTTATTATGTCGTGTGCTACAGTAATACTTGTACTGTGAATTTTAAAATTTTACAAAATGATTTGCGACTACAAACAAAAAACCAATAGAAGTTCTAACGAAATATTGCTGCAAAATGCAGTGAATGCGGAGAAAGAGAAATGACGACTGTAGAGGTTAGTATGGGGATCTGAAACAAATACTTGAGAAACAACTCAAATTCAGGAATTTTAAGATTTCTATGGGAAGACAACATGTTCTGAATGAAAAGGATCCAAGGTGCAATAAACAGCGTGAGTACTTGCAAGTGTATGTTTATAAAATATAAAGCTACGCGCGAGTTAGCTATAGCATAGTTACGTTTAACTATTAGCATCTTTCCCCAAATGAATCATTTTATAACTGATTTTGTTTAAACTCCACGTATAAAGTTTACACTCTTTTTATTTCATTTATTAATACGAGTCTTGTAATTTCAAGATACAGTCACATTAAACGTATAACAATATCGTATACAAAAAAACACATAACATTTTGCAAATAATCAGATATAAACATTTTAAAGGATATCAAAGCGTTTTTCATATATAATTCCGAATAGGAAATTCAATACACATAAAGAATATACGAACACTGCACAACGTATATAATAGGTTGATTCACACCGCTGTTTTCTTGAAACTTCCAGAGTAGCATTTTCTGTGACTGTACGGGATGTTACACCTTCAAGCTCTTGGCAACTGCTCTTATTCTCGTGTAAAGATTCAATTGCAGATATCTACAAATAAGAATTTATGAGTTCAACTTTTGTTTAAATTTACATATATTTATTTTACTGACTGAATTCGTAAATAGCAACGAAAGATTTTCTTATAAGCATGGCTACAAATGATATAAATTTAAATATTTACGCGATCTTCATCCCCATCGCTAGAAATTTTATGTGCTTTTAAAAACAAAATTTCATTTTGTATCAAAAGATATAATTTTATTATTTATTTAAACAAGCTTTTATATATTAATATACTGTTATATGTTATAAGATATTAATTATATTTGAAGGGAACGTTAGAGAAGCTTCTTCTACGAGGCTTACAAAATTGTGTTCGTTCTCGAAATTTAATGGATCGATTTTGATAAAATTTTGCCATTTCCCATTAATTGAGACGAGGAATCCAGCAGGGCCGTGCGGTAGATTTTCTAAGTATGATGCAAGTCTTCGAAATGCCGCCCCTTATATAAATTATTAGTCTTATATAGGCTATAATTCTTATTATTTGGTGTATCTTACCAGGGCCGTGCGGTAAATTTTCTAAGTATGATGCAAGTCTTTGAAATTCTGCCCCTTAAATGTTTTTTATGCCGCCCTCTCACGGTGCCGCCTGATGCGGCCGCATCTCTGCATCATAGCACGGCACGGCCCTGGAATCCAGCAATGTAATGTGACTCCATTTAAATCCAGCAACGAATCGCTTAACTTTCCCGGCAACATTTAAAATTCCGGTGGCCCCTATCTGTTACCATATTTTATTTAAAAGAACTCTCTCCGTACCTGACCAGTGCGAGGATCGTGTCTCTCGTGGCATGGAGGTACGAGGATAGCCTCTTTTGTTGAGACAAGTGCAAAATTCACCTGTTTACGTCCGTCAGATACTGTACTCTTCTGTGCCTAACAAACAGATGTAGAAACCGCTTCTCTCCTTCGGCTCCGCATCAATTCTATCGCGATATGACAAATTCGCTCGATGTCCTAGTTATACTTTATTTGTATATAATAATATTAAGATAATGATATAATTCAAATCATTACTTAGAAAAAATGTAGATCTAAAATGTTATTGTTTCAACATATTATGGTTTATTGTCCTGTAGTTTAGATTTAAACGGAATAAGAGATGAAAATAAAGTGACGTACCAACCAAAACTGATCATTATTAGGAACAGAATTAAAGAAGATGGTTCTACTTGCCTGCGTGTTTTTATGTTTCAGGTAATTAATGAAACGAATATATTTTGTTTATAAAGTGTCTTAAATACTTGTAGAAAGTCATAGCCGAAAAACCTCATTAAGCAAATTCAAAAGAAATAAGAGCCGGATTTATATATAAGCTGACATGATACAAAGTGGATATGATTACGGGCCTAATGCTTTTAAATCTATTATTATTTAGTATAGAAAAAAGGACCTTTTATACATTTAAACTTAAACCCAAAATAAGTCTAAATTTGGCCGCGATGTCTGATCACCTTCAATTCCTCATTAGTTTTTTGCGCTGTTAACATAACATTCTCAACTGTTAAATCTTTAAATTTTTTACTTTAAGGAAGCGGCTTCCTAAAAGTAAAAAAAATAAGTCAGAAATTACATTTCAATATTTTAATATTAAAAAATAGTTTTAAAAGCAAACTAACGGTAATATTAGACGTATGAACTAACTACAGATTTGAACTTTCTTCAGAAATAACGATTGATTACCTTTAAAAATTTATAGAAAAAGTTAATCAGAAAAGATTCAGATTCAGTTCAGACAACTTACTTCACGAAAGACACATAGTAACTTTTTTTCACGTATGATTGCTGGATCCGCTTTACTCCACTGTATATATAAAATGAAATGTTTATTAAATTTATTCACGTAAAATAATTAAAATTAAGGAAAAAATATATAGAAAGAATACCATTTTTTCATGATCAATACCATTTAGAGGAGCAGGCATGGTCTGTACTAAGAATTTATGTTTGATGTATTCTAGCGGGTTGTACGTACTTGGTAAGAGTTTAACTGAAAAGAATTATTTTAGAATAGCTTATTAATAAATGAAAAAAGTAGTTAAAAGTAAAATATAAATATTATAAAACATGCGAAAAAGCATATTGTAAATGCTTACCTCTAATTGAAACTGTTTCACCAGATTCAACGTTTCCATAAGTTGGCGAAACAAGATATTTGGTTGGAACTGTTGTTTTTATTTTGAAACAAACTGCTTCGGATTCGTTATTCTTCAATTTAATTTCAGCTATTGATGCAGTATTATATGGGCCTGAATAAAAGAAATTATTACAGTCGACCCCCCTATAACGCTGTTGATAATTCCGTGTTATATGAATTCCATGTTGTACGAGTCACTTAGATTTTAGAAATACGTGAGCCGTTCACAGCCCGGTACACGTATTTGTAAAATCTAGGTGACTCGTACAACATGGAATTCATATAAAACGGAATTATCAACAGTGTTATAGATGGGTCGACTGTATCTTGATTCTGGTTTCGTTCAACTGATGAGTGAATTAAGAAATTCACTATTTATTGATAACATTTGTTGACTCTTAAAATGACCAATAAAGAAAACAAAAGTTATTGTATATTTTTTAGAATCAGCTATGTGATATAATGGATATTCTTCTCTGTAAAATTTTTAAATTATGTAAGAAACATTTTGAGAACGATTAATTACGTTTATTTTCTTTAGAGAAATCCTAATATAAAACAGAAAATGATAGAAAAAGGGACAATTTAGCAACCAAAAATGGAAAAAATAAACTATTTTATCTAGTATTAATAATATTTTTTAAGGAAAAATGATACAGGACTACAAGAAATCATTTTAAAGACTCTAATAGAAACTGAAATTCTAAAAAAAATCATACTTAAATAATTCATAAACTTTTAAATAATTTAAAATCCAAGAGCTTTGAAGCCATTTTGTATCATCTTTAGGCATTTGGTTGCTTTAAAACGAACAATATCAAATATTATTAAGCTGACTATCTTCAAAATTTTAAAGGTAAACGTTCTATTTGCAATTAATTAACACTTAAACATTTTCCCCGCATTTATATCCATTTGCATTGTAAGACACTTCAAACTTCAAACAAATATAAAATTGAAATTCAATTTAAAATTTAAAAAAATTGTTCTAATATCGAAATTAATTTTTACGAATTAAAATTTTTTCATTACAGTGGTGCCTCGTACTTCGAATTTAATTCATTCCAAGAGGCCATTCGAACTCCGAATCAATTTTCCCCATTATTCATAATGGAAAGTAAATTAACCGGTTGACGCTTCTTTTATTCATTTATTAATAATTCATTCTCACTCACCCGTAAAAGTTAGATGAGAAGGTTCGATTTCCAATTTATTACTCATATTTATATTTAATTTATAATTAAAATCTTTCCGTTCGAGTCGTGAATTGAAATTATAGTTCGTAACGGAACCGAATTTTAAAATTCAAAAATTTACATTTGACGAATGATGGCGCTTCGCTATATAAATTGTATTTTTCGAATTTAGATGTTTAAAAAAAAAAATTGAATTAAAAAAAATTCGATATATGTTCAATTGATTTGTTTATAATAATTTATTAATTTAAATAGTTTACATTGTTCGTTATAGTTTAATACGTTTGTAAAAAATGCTATAGATACAATCCTCGCTCCTATAGGGGTCGTCTATATATTACGTTCTCCTAGGAGGCTGAAGACTGATGATGTTTGATGACGAGAGGAGGCGGTTGCGTGAAGACTACTACGCATTTTTTGTAGCTTATTTTTGATGATTTAACAAAAGAACTGAAAAATCTTGGTTTGACATTAAAAGGTGAGGGCGCCAATAGAACTAAACTTCCTTATAATGCATATTGCCCATTCATTCAGTCAGCATTTAATATGATCTTTAGGCTCTCTTTCTACTACAAAAAAAAAGTATTATTACATAGAAAAAAGATGTACGGTATAAAAATACACGGGCTTCAATATGAGCATTTTATTTCAGGATGAATGAAATTTATACGTAATGCTTCAGCAAGAAGTCTGATCGAACATTCGAAAATCAATAGTGTCCGATCAGTTGCAGCAGTTAAAAAGTATTGCTGCCGTAATACAACGCGAATTAATGACAATACTGAAAGGTTTAATTTTTATGGGCGGTTGCACAATTATACAAGAGATATTTTTCATGATTTGTGAGTTCTGATCACCAATATCTGAATTATTAGATTTAAGTTCATTAATAATATTATAGATTCGAGGACAAAAGAATTGCAAAGTCTGAAAACCAAGTATTCAGGTATAGTCCCGGAGTGTCCAAATTATTTCTGAGAAGGGCAATGTGAGCTATAAAAGAGTACTCTGGAAATCAGGCACGAAACATATAGTCGAAGGATTAAGGGTTTTTTTTTATTACTGAATAACAATGGACATAAATCAATGTGAAATTTGCAACTGCTTTAAATTTGAAATTATTTCGAAAAAAATAATGCCATCAAAATTGGAGATAAATTTTGTGGCATCCAAAATGAAAATCATCAGATATTAGTTTGTACACTGATGTTTTACTTTATATATTTTCGAAAAGCTCATCACTGAACACGCTTCACCAATGGGCTTGCCATGTGAAATTTTCTAGGTTTTCTTCACGTGTCTAACACCTAAATAGGGCTATTTCCCAAAGAAAGGGGAAATACCTCTAAAGAGATATCCCTCTTTAGAGCCATTCCTCTTGTTAGATCGCCCAGGTGTTGCATTACTCTATTCCATTAATCTTATCATATTTTCGAAAAGGTTTGTTCGTAAAGGTACGTAAAACTAATACAGTAATAGCAAAAATTTAACGCTATAATATTTAAATAAATTTTCTCAATAATTTATAATTTTTTTAAAATTATATCCGCTTATTTTTTAATGTACTATGATAATAATGTTAAAGCTACAAAAGATAATAAAAATTAATAATCCATTTTAGAGAATTTTTTTCTACTTTTCTCTTACAGTGTTTTTTTAATTAAATTTTTCTGAACATGGAAATGAACAGCATTTTTTATGAAATACAATTTCTACAGTGGGGAAAAGTATTTCAAAAATAAGCTATGCATAAATCAGTTCTTTTTTTTTTATATACGGGTATAAACATAAAATATATACACTTTCCATATACAGTACATATAACGTGATAGTAAATCCATTTTAGAGAATTTTTTTCTACTTTTCTCTTACAGTGTTTTTTTAATTAAATTTTTCTGAACATGGAAATGAACAGCATTTTTTATGAAATACAATTTCTACAGTGGGGAAAAGTATTTCAAAAATAAGCTATGCATAAATCAGTTCTTTTTTTTTTATATACGGGTATAAACATAAAATATATACACTTTCCATATACAGTACATATAACGTGATAGTAAAAACATTATTTTATTGAAGCGGAGCCTTAGCGAAGTTTCTTCTATGAGGCTTACAGAATTGTGTTCGTTCTCAAAATTTATTGGATCGATTTTGATAAAACTTTCCATTTTCAATTAATTGAGACGAGGAATCCAGTAACGAATCGCTTAACTTTCCTGGCAACATTTAAAATTCCAGTGGCCCTATCTGTTAGGACAGCGCTGTCAAACTTATCATAGCCCGCGGTATTTTATTTAAAAAAAATAACTGTTTGCATTTTTAATTATTATAAAATGGCAAAAAGCTTAATTTTGAGGGTAGGGATGAGTTTTATAAAAATTGTAAATGCTAATAACGAGTAAAATCGTTATTAAGTACGACCATACTGGAGATACGCACGACTCCCATTATCTCCTCACCCCGTGGACTTTTAATCACCAAAATTTAATAGCACGAATCTCTCTAATAAACAAACCTTCCTGCAAAATTTCGGAAATTTTCGAAAGCACAGGAAGGCAAACAAAGTCGTGCCCCACACACACACATTAATTAACATCCATACATACAGAAAAATCTGAAAGTTTTTGCATTTCTCGACGTTTCAAGGTCTCCCAAGTCTAAACATGTAAAACTCTTGCGGGGGTCATTTTTTGACCGATCGCCATACTTTCTCTCTGTTAGTATTCTAGCAATTCTATCGCGATACGACAAACTCGCGCGAGGTCCTGGTTAAGTTTTACCATTGTTACACCGTAATTGAACTGCAATTTGAAAAAAATTGTAAACTTATAAATTCTCTCTGTCGTCCGATGTTTGTCTGTTCTCTCTTAATCTCGATAACTGTGTTAGATAGATGAAAATCGAGAGCAGATATGGAAAGCTTAGGGACAGGAGGCCTCGATTGACTTTATACAAACGGTTTCGGCTGGAAGTCACGTTATTTCAATTCAAAAATTTTCCTCTGAAAGGACTGATAGATGACCAGCAGGACTCTATTGATAAAGGAAAAGTATGATGTACGGTACAGGGGCAACTACAGTACTAATTTGAGGTGGAGAGCATATGTTTTAAATGAAATAAATCAAAAGTATAATTAAAAATTGCAACCCGGCATTGTGACTATGTCACAATAAATAATTGTTCGTTGCTTAATTAGTTCTATTTATTAAACGTATCATAATGGTTTCAATGTTGAAATGTTAGGAAATTTTTAATTTTTCTTACATCGGTAGGTTATAATATGTGCTTCATCTGCTGCCAGGCAGAAATAAAAACTATTTGATTTTGTGCCAGGTTTACTCGAACAACGTCTGAAGTTCTGTTGTGATCCTATACATCAGGTATTAGAAATCTCAAATCTTTTTGGTTCTTACAAGTTAAACTATAAAATAACATATTGAAATGGTCAATTTTCTAATTTGCCATCTTGCAAGGAATACTACTCTGGGTCCCCCACCGATTTTAGTACTTTGAATGTTGATGAATTTTTTACCACAAAGGTACTGTTTGTATGATAATGCAGTCATTCAAACCGTTTCATTCTAAGGACCGTAATGAACGAGTTACGAATTGAATGTTACGAATTGAACGACTAATTGAATGTGGAATTACAAGTAATACAATAGTTCGATTAGGCGGGCGCAGATCTGCTTGAGAAAGGAGAAGGTCGACGACGTGTTTGTTATCTGCGCCGTGATATTGTAGGACTCATTAAAATACATCAATATTTTAGTGAAACTTATAAACAGTTACATTCATTTTGTAATAAAACTTGAAATCAAAGAAGTCATTTCATACAGTAAACTCATTTTATTTATTATCCCAATCAGGACAGTAGCATCTAGTATACTCTTCAACAGTAATTATTTTTGGCGATTACATTAATAATAATTAATGAGAAGAAGCGAAAAGAGAGAAATTCTAATCTCAATTCCACGTAAGAAGAGGTTAGAAAGTTCACAAAATTAAAACTAAAAAGGAAAAAGCGAAGAATCGGAAGACTGCAAATAAAAGGTAAGTTAGAAAAATACTGGATTTTGGATTGAAAAAGCAAAGGATTTAGTGCATTTTACGTGAGAGTTCAAATTTTAGACCCAAATTGAATGTAGAGATTAAGAGAATATAGACATTATTAATACATGCGCCAGAGACAACGACGTGCAAAGCGACGTCGATGCTGACGAAAGTGAGGACGAAGATAGTGATATTATGCGACATACAAGTGAGTACTCTAAGCCAATGTTTACCTTTAGAGATGTTGATGAATCCCTTGAAACATTCAGTGGTGACAACAGAAAGAATGTTGTAAAGTGGATCTCTAATTTCGAAGACATGGCGGAAATGTGTAATTGAAATGGCATGCAGAAGATAATTTACGCAAAACGACTACTCAGAGGTTCAGCAAGAATGTACGTAAACTACGAACAATGTACTAAATCATGGCGAGCATTAAAAGAAGCCTTTTGCGTCGAATTTTTTCCAAAACTGAACAGCAGGAAGATTCATTCAGGTTTTCTGTGTTTAAGGAACTTGATGTTTTCTTACCTTATTTTAGTTCTTTTTTGATTTTGCGAAATAATAATAATACTACGAGTGCAAAGGTTTTAAGCGCAAACATTCAGTGACATTTCTAGAATTTTTCATTTAAATTTCTTACTATTCCTTTGAATATTTAGCACACAGTTCACTTGTAATATCTGTCCGTTACTGGGAAACGTTTTATGGTGCCTGAATTTCATGTTATTTATTTTAAATTTAAAATATATATACTGTTAAATTTTCGTGTTTTCGTTTATTCTATTATTAAAATATATGTTTAACTATAACCTGACTGTATTACTTTATCATTAGCGTATCGGTTTTTTTACTAATTTTGAAATGTTCTCCATCTCAAATTTTTTGCACCTGTACATCATACTTTACCTGATAACAACAGATTAGTGCCGATCATCTAACTCACTCCATTCATGGGAAAATTTTTGAATTGAAATAATGTCACTTCCAGTCCAAACCGGATGTTCCTATGTAATCGAGGAGGCCTCCTGCCCCTACGATTTCCTTATCTGGTTTAATTTTCATCTAACTAACTCCGTTCTCGAAATTAAAGGTGGGCAGACAAACAGTGTGAATTTATAGGTCTACAATTTTTTCAAATTGTAGCCCAAAAATCATCTTCATAGACAAATGTATCTTTTATACTGTATTTGCTAAACGTATTTATGCTAAAATGTACAAGTACGTATTAATTTTACAAAATTGTTATTTTTAAAAACTAATTTGCAAGTTAGTTTTGTTTCGGCTGGAAAATTTAGCAGTAAAAATTAACAAAGTAGATTTGAATTAAATGAATGTTACATTAGGGAGTGTGTACTGTCTGAATAACGTATATTATTATGATTTTGATAGTTCAAAATTATTAAATTTTACTACGTTACATATATTTATTAGGTAGGGAAAAAGAAATATCGATTACTATGACATATCAAATGAAATATAAAGGCCATATCTATCTCTAGAAATTAGTTTATTTAATATATATATATATATATATACAGAATATAATTTACCAAAACTGGATATCATTATAGATTATATTTGTACAGAGCAACATTTAAAATTGTACACTGTAAAAATGATTATGATTTAACAATATTGATGAATTTAATGAATATCATCAGAAAAAGATGTTCAAAAACAAATTTCTTGCAAATTTCTCTTTTGGTCAGCAAGTAGTCAGACTTCCCATCAAATGCTCCATTTTATTCAAAAAGTTACGGCCTTCCATTCGTTCCCAACACACTTCTCTAAAGTTTCCGCTGAGGTTCTGCCATTTTCTATCTCGAACTAAAGTACTGGGATAAAAGTCTTGTTGTTGAGGAGAGGAAGAAACGCTCACGTGAACTCCAGTTTGTGGACCGCACCTTACGGCAATTACTCTACAAAGAATAAGTACAAATATTTTATTTTGAACAGTCATTACTTGTTCCTTTACATACATTAAGTAATTACCTATCTCCAGTAGGCGATGCCATAATTACTGAAGAGGCATTTCCAATCGGTTCTACAGCACCGACTCCTATGTGATTGCAGGTGGATAACACCTTCCACCCCATTAGTTTAGCCAAAGCTTGAACTGCATTAACTTGATGCTGTGAAACCTACAAAATTTTGTAAAATTAACATTAATATTAAAATATCATTAATACTTGAAAATATTTTATTACCTGACACATCAACAGATAATGTAGTTCCTGCGGTTCGTATGATAAATTCATAGTCCTTCCATCACGACAAATGGCTTTTAAACTTCTTCTTCCAACATGTATAACTAATGGTGTTCTGAACAGAATAATATATATTCATTAAAAATTATTATTATTATTAATCAATTTTTTTGAAAAAAGCATCACACACCTGCATATAGTTTCATATCCATGAGTCATAATATTTATCTTAACACTGCTTTTATTGGGGCTGTTAAGACATACCCAATGTGCAACAATTAAAGGATCTTTTATTTCACAAGCATATGTATCAATCATATACATAGTCCTAAAATAAAAAAAATTATATATACAATGATTTAAAAACTAAATCACTATGACAGACTTTATATTATATAATTGCAGAAAAAGCTACAGGTGTTTTTATGCATTTATATGATATACAGAACAATCTTAATTGAAATGTCTGTAGGTTTTTTCTGCATTTAAAAATTATTATTATTATTATTACAGTTTTATATATACACCTACACAGAGGTTAGGTTAGGTTAGGTTAGGTCAACAAATGGCAAACAGTCAAGTAAAACAATAGTTTTTCTTAAACTCCATCAGCAACGTACAGACAATGCATGGCTGAAAAATCTCTCAAACAACAGGTGCACAAAGTTTCCGCAAGCCTTTTTGTAGGATACTGGACAGTGATTTTAAGGCACTCTGGTGATGTATTAAGCATGCAATTGGATCACAACTGTAATCACTTACATATTTGTCTGAGATACAGTCATATTCTAAGTTTTGCAATAATCAAAGAATTCTATCTGGATGCTTAACTCAATGACTTTTATGTTAGAACATCAATTTTGTTACAAAAAATTAATAATGGTTTTAAGCCAAAGCCTTAACAAGATGTTCACTTCATTATTAGAAAATAGTTTAATCAATTTCAAATAATTTATCACACAATATTATATCTCATCTGTATCCAGAAGACTCTTAAAAAAATGATAAATATTATTAAAACACAATTTATTTTTGGTTTTCTTGTTAAAATCAATTTAAACATTTTTATATATTTACAATAATACATTTAATATTTTTAAATTTCTAATGTTTTCATTTTTACAGATTATTATGAAATTTTAATTCCTATAAAAATTATATTTGAAATTTTCTCATTAATATCTGGAAATCACTATGTAGAGTTATTTTTAAAACAGCAACACAGACAAATAAAAGTATTTATCTGTGTTGCTGGTTTTAAAAATAACTCATAATACAATAATTTCCAGAATCTATGGAAACATTTAAAGCTTATAAATATTTATTTAGATTTTTCTTTATTTGTAACTATTCATTAAATACATTCATTCATTAACATAATAAAAATAAATTAATGATATATTTTCTTACCTCAGTCTAAGCACAACATGCTGTGTTTGATGAATTACTTGTTCTAAAATTGTTTCACTTAAAATATAAATGAAAAATAAATTAATTTTTTTGTTACAAAAAAAACAACTGCTTACAATTTAATTATTTAATATGTATAGTTTTAATTCAAAAAAAAAAAAAAAAGTGTTTATAAATGTACTTTTTTGATGACTCTATTAAAGTTTGCCGATCGCATGCCTCAGGTCCTGCTAATCGTCTCCTCTTACTGACACCGAGAGTGGCAGTTGTGGGATGAGGCATTGGATGATGTAGTGCATTGTAGTGAATTTCTCGTAATAGTTGATGTAATGAATGTTCCAGTACAGGTTTATGATCGCCTGTTTGGGTTGAAGTGGTCTAAAAACAAAAAAAACAAAAAATTTTATAACAGCTGAATATTAACTTCTAATATAATACAGTCGAATCCATCTACTGTAATCACTTTGGGACTAACCTACACTGATAATACATAAGGTGATCAAAATAGTTTAAAAACCAAAGTAATATGAAGTAACTCCAATGTAGCTAAGGTAGTAATGTAATAAAGGTAGTAAACCCAGATTGGCAACATCAAATAATCAGAATGTATGAGCAGTTATAGCAATTTCAAATGATGACAAGGTTAGAAAAATGATTTTGCAAAGAAGTATGTGCAGTTATTTCATTTTTCTGGGCCAAAATGAGTTCACCTGATGAAATTCATCAAAAGCTTGAAAGAGACTGTTAAAAGAAAATATCCTGAACACATTTTTTTATGAGCAGGATGAACAAACTTGTTACATGTTGCAATAAATGCCTAACGAGATTGGATTGATTATTGCTTTCATTTCCTCAATAAAAGTATTTGTCTGTGTTGCTGGTTTTAAAAAGTTACTTTTTGATCTTCCATGTAATAACTGACTGATAACAATAAGCAAGGAGTAAGTAAATAAAGTGGCAATTAATGGAAATTCAAGTATTATTGACATTAAAAGCATGTAAAACAATTACAAAATCTATAATGTTAATTTATTTAGATTTATTAATTATTATTAATTCACGTAACTTATAAATATAACAGATGAAAATGATAACTGATGACAATTATGCATAATTATCTGCATGTTAAGGGCCATAGTATGAAAAGACAACTTAAAAAAATGCCTATTTAGCTGAAGATAATAATAACTATGACAAAACTCTAATTCCATAATAAATGAAGTTTTATACATGTACTTTAATTTATATGTTTTGGGACATGCTAACTCTGATAACAGATGACTGATTACATCTGTGTTTACAATAAATAGATTCAGCCGTATTTGTTGTATTTTCTGATAACATATTTTAATATATAAAAATAATCATAACTTTGAGTTATAGAACCTCAATATTTATCAAAAATAAGCTAACCTTACGGCAATTACTCTACAAAGAATAAGTACAAATATTTTATTTTGAACAGTCATTACTTGTTCCTTTACATACATTAAGTAATTACCTATCTCCAGTAGGCGATGCCATAATTACTGAAGAGGCATTTCCAATTGGTTCTACGGCACCGACTCCTATGTGATTGCAGGTGGATAACACCTTCCACCCCATTAGTTTAGCCAAAGNAGTAAAATATAAATATTATAAAACATGCGAAAAAGCATATTGTAAATGCTTACCTCTAATTGAAACTGTTTCACCAGATTCAACGTTTCCATAAGTTGGCGAAACAAGATATTTGGTTGGAACTGTTGTTTTTATTTTGAAACAAACTGCTTCGGATTCGTTATTCTTCAATTTAATTTCAGCTATTGATGCAGTATTATATGGGCCTGAATAAAAGAAATTATTACAGTCGACCCCCCTATAACGCTGTTGATAATTCCGTGTTATATGAATTCCATGTTGTACGAGTCACTTAGATTTTAGAAATACGTGAGCCGTTCACAGCCCGGTACACGTATTTGTAAAATCTAGGTGACTCGTACAACATGGAATTCATATAAAACGGAATTATCAACAGTGTTATAGATGGGTCGACTGTATCTTGATTCTGGTTTCGTTCAACTGATGAGTGAATTAAGAAATTCACTATTTATTGATAACATTTGTTGACTCTTAAAATGACCAATAAAGAAAACAAAAGTTATTGTATATTTTTTAGAATCAGCTATGTGATATAATGGATATTCTTCTCTGTAAAATTTTTAAATTATGTAAGAAACATTTTGAGAACGATTAATTACGTTTATTTTCTTTAGAGAAATCCTAATATAAAACAGAAAATGATAGAAAAAGGGACAATTTAGCAACCAAAAATGGAAAAAATAAACTATTTTATCTAGTATTAATAATATTTTTTAAGGAAAAATGATACAGGACTACAAGAAATCATTTTAAAGACTCTAATAGAAACTGAAATTCTAAAAAAAATCATACTTAAATAATTCATAAACTTTTAAATAATTTAAAATCCAAGAGCTTTGAAGCCATTTTGTATCATCTTTAGGCATTTGGTTGCTTTAAAACGAACAATATCAAATATTATTAAGCTGACTATCTTCAAAATTTTAAAGGTAAACGTTCTATTTGCAATTAATTAACACTTAAACATTTTCCCCGCATTTATATCCATTTGCATTGTAAGACACTTCAAACTTCAAACAAATATAAAATTGAAATTCAATTTAAAATTTAAAAAAATTGTTCTAATATCGAAATTAATTTTTACGAATTAAAATTTTTTCATTACAGTGGTGCCTCGTACTTCGAATTTAATTCATTCCAAGAGGCCATTCGAACTCCGAATCAAAATTCACCTGTTTACGTCCGTCAGATACTGTACTCTTCTGTGCCTAACAAACAGATGTAGAAACCGCTTCTCTCCTTCGGCTCCGCATCAATTCTATCGCGATATGACAAATTCGCTCGATGTCCTAGTTATACTTTATTTGTATATAATAATATTAAGATAATGATATAATTCAAATCATTACTTAGAAAAAATGTAGATCTAAAATGTTATTGTTTCAACATATTATGGTTTATTGTCCTGTAGTTTAGATTTAAACGGAATAAGAGATGAAAATAAAGTGACGTACCAACCAAAACTGATCATTATTAGGAACAGAATTAAAGAAGATGGTTCTACTTGCCTGCGTGTTTTTATGTTTCAGGTAATTAATGAAACGAATATATTTTGTTTATAAAGTGTCTTAAATACTTGTAGAAAGTCATAGCCGAAAAACCTCATTAAGCAAATTCAAAAGAAATAAGAGCCGGATTTATATATAAGCTGACATGATACAAAGTGGATATGATTACGGGCCTAATGCTTTTAAATCTATTATTATTTAGTATAGAAAAAAGGACCTTTTATACATTTAAACTTAAACCCAAAATAAGTCTAAATTTGGCCGCGATGTCTGATCACCTTCAATTCCTCATTAGTTTTTTGCGCTGTTAACATAACATTCTCAACTGTTAAATCTTTAAATTTTTTACTTTAAGGAAGCGGCTTCCTAAAAGTAAAAAAAATAAGTCAGAAATTACATTTCAATATTTTAATATTAAAAAATAGTTTTAAAAGCAAACTAACGGTAATATTAGACGTATGAACTAACTACAGATTTGAACTTTCTTCAGAAATAACGATTGATTACCTTTAAAAATTTATAGAAAAAGTTAATCAGAAAAGATTCAGATTCAGTTCAGACAACTTACTTCACGAAAGACACATAGTAACTTTTTTTCACGTATGATTGCTGGATCCGCTTTACTCCACTGTATATATAAAATGAAATGTTTATTAAATTTATTCACGTAAAATAATTAAAATTAAGGAAAAAATATATAGAAAGAATACCATTTTTTCATGATCAATACCATTTAGAGGAGCAGGCATGGTCTGTACTAAGAATTTATGTTTGATGTATTCTAGCGGGTTGTACGTACTTGGTAAGAGTTTAACTGAAAAGAATTATTTTAGAATAGCTTATTAATAAATGAAAAAAGTAGTTAAAAGTAAAATATAAATATTATAAAACATGCGAAAAAGCATATTGTAAATGCTTACCTCTAATTGAAACTGTTTCACCAGATTCAACGTTTCCATAAGTTGGCGAAACAAGATATTTGGTTGGAACTGTTGTTTTTATTTTGAAACAAACTGCTTCGGATTCGTTATTCTTCAATTTAATTTCAGCTATTGATGCAGTATTATATGGGCCTGAATAAAAGAAATTATTACAGTCGACCCCCCTATAACGCTGTTGATAATTCCGTGTTATATGAATTCCATGTTGTACGAGTCACTTAGATTTTAGAAATACGTGAGCCGTTCACAGCCCGGTACACGTATTTGTAAAATCTAGGTGACTCGTACAACATGGAATTCATATAAAACGGAATTATCAACAGTGTTATAGATGGGTCGACTGTATCTTGATTCTGGTTTCGTTCAACTGATGAGTGAATTAAGAAATTCACTATTTATTGATAACATTTGTTGACTCTTAAAATGACCAATAAAGAAAACAAAAGTTATTGTATATTTTTTAGAATCAGCTATGTGATATAATGGATATTCTTCTCTGTAAAATTTTTAAATTATGTAAGAAACATTTTGAGAACGATTAATTACGTTTATTTTCTTTAGAGAAATCCTAATATAAAACAGAAAATGATAGAAAAAGGGACAATTTAGCAACCAAAAATGGAAAAAATAAACTATTTTATCTAGTATTAATAATATTTTTTAAGGAAAAATGATACAGGACTACAAGAAATCATTTTAAAGACTCTAATAGAAACTGAAATTCTAAAAAAAATCATACTTAAATAATTCATAAACTTTTAAATAATTTAAAATCCAAGAGCTTTGAAGCCATTTTGTATCATCTTTAGGCATTTGGTTGCTTTAAAACGAACAATATCAAATATTATTAAGCTGACTATCTTCAAAATTTTAAAGGTAAACGTTCTATTTGCAATTAATTAACACTTAAACATTTTCCCCGCATTTATATCCATTTGCATTGTAAGACACTTCAAACTTCAAACAAATATAAAATTGAAATTCAATTTAAAATTTAAAAAAATTGTTCTAATATCGAAATTAATTTTTACGAATTAAAATTTTTTCATTACAGTGGTGCCTCGTACTTCGAATTTAATTCATTCCAAGAGGCCATTCGAACTCCGAATCAATTTTCCCCATTATTCATAATGGAAAGTAAATTAACCGGTTGACGCTTCTTTTATTCATTTATTAATAATTCATTCTCACTCACCCGTAAAAGTTAGATGAGAAGGTTCGATTTCCAATTTATTACTCATATTTATATTTAATTTATAATTAAAATCTTTCCGTTCGAGTCGTGAATTGAAATTATAGTTCGTAACGGAACCGAATTTTAAAATTCAAAAATTTACATTTGACGAATGATGGCGCTTCGCTATATAAATTGTATTTTTCGAATTTAGATGTTTAAAAAAAAAAATTGAATTAAAAAAAATTCGATATATGTTCAATTGATTTGTTTATAATAATTTATTAATTTAAATAGTTTACATTGTTCGTTATAGTTTAATACGTTTGTAAAAAATGCTATAGATACAATCCTCGCTCCTATAGGGGTCGTCTATATATTACGTTCTCCTAGGAGGCTGAAGACTGATGATGTTTGATGACGAGAGGAGGCGGTTGCGTGAAGACTACTACGCATTTTTTGTAGCTTATTTTTGATGATTTAACAAAAGAACTGAAAAATCTTGGTTTGACATTAAAAGGTGAGGGCGCCAATAGAACTAAACTTCCTTATAATGCATATTGCCCATTCATTCAGTCAGCATTTAATATGATCTTTAGGCTCTCTTTCTAATACAAAAAAAAAGNGTTTTAAGCCAAAGCCTTAACAAGATGTTCACTTCATTATTAGAAAATAGTTTAATCAATTTCAAATAATTTATCACACAATATTATATCTCATCTGTATCCAGAAGACTCTTAAAAAAATGATAAATATTATTAAAACACAATTTATTTTTGGTTTTCTTGTTAAAATCAATTTAAACATTTTTATATATTTACAATAATACATTTAATATTTTTAAATTTCTAATGTTTTCATTTTTACAGATTATTATGAAATTTTAATTCCTATAAAAATTATATTTGAAATTTTCTCATTAATATCTGGAAATCACTATGTAGAGTTATTTTTAAAACAGCAACACAGACAAATAAAAGTATTTATCTGTGTTGCTGGTTTTAAAAATAACTCATAATACAATAATTTCCAGAATCTATGGAAACATTTAAAGCTTATAAATATTTATTTAGATTTTTCTTTATTTGTAACTATTCATTAAATACATTCATTCATTAACATAATAAAAATAAATTAATGATATATTTTCTTACCTCAGTCTAAGCACAACATGCTGTGTTTGATGAATTACTTGTTCTAAAATTGTTTCACTTAAAATATAAATGAAAAATAAATTAATTTTTTTGTTACAAAAAAAACAACTGCTTACAATTTAATTATTTAATATGTATAGTTTTAATTCAAAAAAAAAAAAAAAAGTGTTTATAAATGTACTTTTTTGATGACTCTATTAAAGTTTGCCGATCGCATGCCTCAGGTCCTGCTAATCGTCTCCTCTTACTGACACCGAGAGTGGCAGTTGTGGGATGAGGCATTGGATGATGTAGTGCATTGTAGTGAATTTCTCGTAATAGTTGATGTAATGAATGTTCCAGTACAGGTTTATGATCGCCTGTTTGGGTTGAAGTGGTCTAAAAACAAAAAAAACAAAAAATTTTATAACAGCTGAATATTAACTTCTAATATAATACAGTCGAATCCATCTACTGTAATCACTTTGGGACTAACCTACACTGATAATACATAAGGTGATCAAAATAGTTTAAAAACCAAAGTAATATGAAGTAACTCCAATGTAGCTAAGGTAGTAATGTAATAAAGGTAGTAAACCCAGATTGGCAACATCAAATAATCAGAATGTATGAGCAGTTATAGCAATTTCAAATGATGACAAGGTTAGAAAAATGATTTTGCAAAGAAGTATGTGCAGTTATTTCATTTTTCTGGGCCAAAATGAGTTCACCTGATGAAATTCATCAAAAGCTTGAAAGAGACTGTTAAAAGAAAATATCCTGAACACATTTTTTTATGAGCAGGATGAACAAACTTGTTACATGTTGCAATAAATGCCTAACGAGATTGGATTGATTATTGCTTTCATTTCCTCAATAAAAGTATTTGTCTGTGTTGCTGGTTTTAAAAAGTTACTTTTTGATCTTCCATGTAATAACTGACTGATAACAATAAGCAAGGAGTAAGTAAATAAAGTGGCAATTAATGGAAATTCAAGTATTATTGACATTAAAAGCATGTAAAACAATTACAAAATCTATAATGTTAATTTATTTAGATTTATTAATTATTATTAATTCACGTAACTTATAAATATAACAGATGAAAATGATAACTGATGACAATTATGCATAATTATCTGCATGTTAAGGGCCATAGTATGAAAAGACAACTTAAAAAAATGCCTATTTAGCTGAAGATAATAATAACTATGACAAAACTCTAATTCCATAATAAATGAAGTTTTATACATGTACTTTAATTTATATGTTTTGGGACATGCTAACTCTGATAACAGATGACTGATTACATCTGTGTTTACAATAAATAGATTCAGCCGTATTTGTTGTATTTTCTGATAACATATTTTAATATATAAAAATAATCATAACTTTGAGTTATAGAACCTCAATATTTATCAAAAATAAGCTAGAAATGTATTATGAATAATGGATATTTTCTTCAAATTAATAATTATGAAGTAATTGACAATAAAATTATTATAACTAACTTTATTATTACTTCATAATTATGAAGTTGTAATAATTAAAACAATCTTATTTATATATAATAATGATAAACATTATAATTTCTTAAGAGTATTTACTAATGATTAATATTTTAATAAAATATTACGTGACTACTCGACAAAATACGAGTAGCATTTGCATTTAAAAATTTTTACAATAATTATACAAAATATTGTAACTTTATGTACATTACTTTATAAAAATTCATAATTTCAACATACATACCTTTGATCGGCAGTTTGCAGTAGTGTGACACAAACCTATGCACAACTGTACTCCTGGAAAAAGCTGTAATAATAATTTACGAATTTGTTTTTAGTAAAGATAATTATATGAATAATACTGCATATGGACAAAATATAGAATAAATAATAGTTCCAGATCTCCAACTTAGTTTTGATGAACAGTGCTTGATTTAACTAAAAGCTTTCAATTAATTCTGAATATTAAAATATTATAGTAATTTCCAACTATATTTTTTATATTTAATAAGTAATATCACTTGAAAAATTAATAACTATGGGTTCAGTTCAAATGTAACAACATTTAATTCATTAAAATTTTTGAACTAATGCAATTCAATATTTAAATAAATAAGACTTCTTTATATTTTATATAAATAATTGTTTATAAAAGTTATGATTCTTTAAAACTATTCTTTGATGATTAATATGCATCCATAACTATCTATCTATATAGATAAAGATTAGGAATAACAATCAGAATAATTTGCCATAAAATGGGTCTCTTTATATTTTATAAAATAAAATAGCTTATAAACAGAATTATAATTATTTAATGTTAATTTAATCAGGTTCAAATTAATATTTTTGATCCATATAATAAGTCAACAGGTTACAAGTTGAGTTTATGTAATTCTATTTTGAAATTTTTTTAATTTGCAATCTAAACATGACTTGTTTAACAAGTCAAAAATGTTTGTTCAAAATATAATTTATTATATTTACACATATAAATTACTCACTGCTTAGATGTATAGTTCTGTTATCATACAGAACTAGATACTTTATATCAGTGAATATTTTTCTTTCTGTAAATACGTTTTAATGATTTGGAAAATTTATCTGATTTTACAACTATGAATTATTTTCATATGTTTATTATTGTTTTTGAAAGTTATAACTAATAAGCCAAACAATCTTATCAAATTATTGTGCTCTGTTATAAATTAATTATAACAGAAAATTAGTAAATTTCACAGTTAGTTGTAATATTAGTCATTATAATTCATCAGTATGGTAATTTTTTTGAAAATAATACAGCATAACCTTCAAATATGGACACCATCAGAGCTGAGAAGTTTGTCCACTATTTAGAGATGTCCACTATTCAGAAATACATGACAGTAGCCATATTGTATTTTAACTTGGTCATTATAAAGTGAAAAATACAATGGATTGCAAGAACATCAAATTTGCATTAGGAATGTGAAAATACCAAAAAGTATTCATAGAATATATAATTAAAATAAATAAAATATTGTATATATATTTTAATTATCATCTTTTCAGCTGTAAAAATAACATTTTACTTGAATTATAAATAGCAAACATACTGTATAAGATACTTTAATTAAATGGAACATAAAAATTATGACAAAACATAAATGTTGATTAATTATTAATTCATCAAAAACAACTTGAGCAAAGTAACAAAAAAAGAAAAATAAAACTGTCATTATGAACAGAAGGGTAGACAAAAGTCGATTTAGGCGAAAAGAGTTCAAATGACAAGTTACAAAGGCAATTTGCTAGCCACTTCAAGGGATGGGAAATGTATTCGATATTTTTGCATTTATAACATCATTTATGATTTAAGCAACTAATAAAAATTAATATAGGGATTTGTCTGCTTTGTAGTTATTGAATAAGTGTAATTTTTTTGAATATTTTTGCTTTTTTCAATAAATGATTTATTAAAAATTACTTCAGCCACCACAAAGCTGTTAAGATCATAAATTACATCATAAATGCCAGAAAATCTAGTATCTTTCTACACTTTAAAGTTGTCAGCAAATCACCTTCATAACACGATTTTTGAACTTGTACCAAATAAACACCATTGTCTTAACCTTAAAATTATTTCTTTTTCATTATTACTGTGCTATGGTTCTTGTCAAATGAATGAATAACTTCAGAAAAGTTTAGTTTCTTGGTATCATAAGCTTAATTCCAATAATAAGACAAGTTTAACAACATTAATATGTATGATGATAAATGGTGATTGACAAATCACCATTTATCATCATACATATTAATGTTGTTAACACTCAAAATAACCAGACTAGTCTTCTCTAACAGATAAAGAATATTGTTTGCCTTTTTACAATCCATCCTCCTCCACTATTCCTATTTTAAGTCAGTCTTTATTCGATGCCTACAGTCAAAATTCATCCTCTGAAAAACTATTTGAACATATTCTTTGGTTTTAGATTTAAAATATTTCGTACATAATTAATTCTTCCAGAATATGGAAGGCGGAACTTTGTGCTTTTTTAAGGTAGGTTATGGACGATGGCATCTGTTATTTAGAGGTAAATATTATAGATGTCCTATTTGAAGGGTCTGGAGATTGTAAAAATGTCCGTTAAGTAGAGGTGTCCGTTATTCAAGAGTGTCCATTAATGGAGGTTTCTCCATAGTGTACAATATAATTGTATAGCACTATTGAATTGCTGTTTATGATATGCAATGTGTTTCATTTTTATATATTTATTACAGTTTAGAAATAAAAATTTGCAATATCATATATATTTTGATATTTATAATATAGATCAAATTACAGATGACTGAAAAAATTAAAAATATTACTATCTGAGATGTTTCTAAATTATATCATGTCTATATCTATAGTTTCAATATATTTGTATTTCACTCAATAAATAAATATATGTATAATATTAAAACAAAAACTTACTGATACAGTTATTTGACTTCCAACGACAAGATTAGGAATGGCTGGTTGTAGTTGTACAGCTTCTCTGGCTAACTAAAAATAGAATGGATTTCTAAATGAATATATCTTTATTATTTTACAAAATTTTAATACTATACAAATATTTGCAATTACTTGAGAAAATAATTCTTTGCAAAATAAGACATTTTGTGCAGCTTCTAACTTTTGCTGCCAATGAGCTTCAGGCTGTGAACGTGCAGACTCAGGTAATGGTATAGTTAATTCTCCACTAGCAATAGTTTCTGTATCTAAATAGATGTAAAAAATAAACTGTATAAAATCTGTCAGAATCATATATGGAATTTTTTACAGATTATGATTTTTACTAAAATTTACTCATGACTCTGACTAGAACTGATATTTTTGGCTTTATTTAATCAAAAACATATTATCCTTACAATAATTATTTAACTTTCCCAAATCATTACATACCTATAATTAAAAAAAAACCTAAAATTTAAATATTTAATTTATAATTTAATATATGTGTAAAATAATAGTAAAATGGTTTTATCTGATGTTTTTCTTAAAATTATTTCTATTTTGAATTTCTACAAAAGACTGCATATTCCTTCTCGATAACAAGCACTGAGTTCAGCGTTAACACAATTTTTCTTATCTTGCAAGTACTTTCAACGAGTATAAGTTTGTCGTCTTCAGGCGAAAAATAACAAATTTGAAGAAATAGAGCATGCAGTGTTCCAAGTAGAAAATGGAAAATTTTCTTGGCAATTTTTTAATTACAACGTTCAGTAATTCTGTTGGTAACATGCAACAAGCTTTTGCAGGCATTCGAAAGTTCTTAAATCCACGCGACTGGCATCGCATGCATCGAGGAGCGATTGTGCTAATTGTGCGACTCTTGGCGTGTTTGGTTGTTTAGACACTGGTATAAAGTACCCCATATTTTAGGCAAGTTGGGGGTGGGGACATTGCATGTGTCTGTGGTCACTGTAAGGAGCACTTCCCAAATAAATGTAATCCTTCTGTTTTTACAGCACTTGAGCAATGCTGTTTTTGACCATAGCGGGTTATAGCCCTTCTGTAGCACTTTTCTGTCTTCCTTTGTTTATATCCTCCTGGTGTTCTGTGATACAGCAAACAAGCATTCTTGTCGTTGCCCCTATATACCTCTCAGTTATCCCCGTTATTGGATTTTCTAGTTGCACTGCATATACTCCCAATTTTTCTTCAAAGACTGCATATTCAACCATGAGATACTAACAGATTTAAAAAAAAAAAAAAACTTATAATTTTCTTTAATCTATACAATTATAAAAAAATGTATCTATTGAAATAAGAAATGTCTTTAAACATCAAGAAGCATTTCATCAATATTCAACAAACACTAATAATCAAATTAATATATAAGTGGACATTCAATAAGTGTATTTAACACAATTCCCTTTCAAAAGAATTAAACTCAACTATAATATTTATTAGTTTTATTTTATAATTATACATTTAAACATCTGTTCTGTCCAGGCCAAAAGATATCTTTCCAGCATGAGTGTATGTACTTGTTCTGGCAAAAAATAACCAATATATATATTTAAATGTATATCCAGCGGCAAAAAATTAATTCATTCAAAAAATGCCATGACGATATAATTAATGTATTCAGTAAAATAAAATAAATCATTCAACAAAAGAGACATGACAATTGTATGATAATTCAGCAGCAATATGTAAATTTTTCAAACATCAAAATCAAATCTGAGCAAGCAAATTCAGGAATTTTTCATGGGTGATCTGTCCCAGACACATTAGGCCTTGTCCCTCACAATCTTGTTGCTTTCACTGTAAGCCTAGCCAAACTTGTGACAGAAAAGGCCCTCTTAGTATCCACAGAGCAGAGAGTCAAAAGTTAAAAGTTCTTTTACCTTTTTTACCTAATTCTTTTTTAAAAGTTCTTTTACCTTTTTGTACTGTAACTTGAATATAACTTATTCCTTCTAGTTCACTAGGCAATGTAACTTTCAGAGCACTCGGAACTGCTGGCTTTGTTCTTGCCGATGGATCCGTACTAGGAAATGGCGAAGTTGTAGCTGCCTGTTCACTTTTACTCACTTCAAATACTCCCAACTGCCAAAACTGCGATCCAGCTAGTTAATATTTATAGACACACAAACAAAATCATTACCAAAAATATAAATATATATTTGTAAAGATTAATAATTAAAATATTTTATACCACTTCGAAAACTGAGGTCACCCAAAATTGTATTTCCAACTTTTTTCAAACGCCATAATTGTCTCATATGTAATAGTTCTAAATGAAAATCTGGTACAGAACGATTTCTTCCTGCTTCTGCTTGGGATGTTCTTAATCTTTCTGCACCATTTAAAATAATAGAGGCAGCTGCAGATAATGCCTACAAATGAAAAAAGTATTTTTATTACTAACATTTTAAATCAACATCTTTTGAATAGAAATTCAATTTTGTTATTATAAAAAATAAATATTAGATATTTATTTTATAAATTTCAAAATATTTTATTAATAATCTAATAATTTAATATCCTTACAAAGGTTAAAGTGTTCAAAATTAATTGAAGTATGTTAAATGGTTACTTGGAAAGCAAGATTTATTGGAATATGAATCTATGTAGCACTTAGAAAGTTATATATATATATATATATATAAAACATGAGTTGGTATGTTATTTTGAAAAAGATTATTCAGATAATCAAGTTCTTTTTGATTCTGTTAGAGTCAGCAATGGATTCATTTGACATGTATAGTAAGCATATATTAATTTTGTTTCAAGATGTGATAGTCTGTGAAGAAAAACAAGAATTAAGTCTGTTTTGTTTCATGCTTGGTATAGACAACCATTGGATACAAGAATCCTATTTTTTTTTTTTGTTTATAAATGATAAATTGTTATGTTAAAAAAAATCAATATGTCAACTAAGATTGAATAAATTTAAACTTGTATGGAAAGGAACATTGTTCAAACTGTATCTAGATTTAAGACATATACTGTAATTTAGGAGAATTTTCCTTGTTTCATATGTTATTTAATTATTCAATTATTAATTCTAAATATAAAAATAAACAATTGACATTTGTTGAAAGTGACATTAATGAAGTATGATTGTTATTTTGTAAGATCTTGATTAGAGTTCTTTAAGAGAAAATTATTTTATGTTATTTAACATTTGCAATTTATGTTCATCCCAACTTAAGAGCTTGTAATCCATAAGTTTTAATGAATGAATGAATATTAATATTATCAATACTATTAAATAAAATATTATTTAAAGATAACAATCACCAACAACAAAATCCAGACAAACAGAAAAATTTTACTGTAAATAAAGTTTTCATCCATATATAACAGTTGTATTATTTAATATAAATGCTTGTTCAAACATTCTTTTTAATAAAATAGAAACAAATATTTATTGCAATGTTGTTACATCAAAGTGTATTTTCTACAAAAAAATACCATATTTACTTGCATATAAGATGAGGTTTTCATTCATTTTTCACTGCTTCAAAAACCTAGGTTGTCTTATATGTGCGAGCAAAGGATTCTTTGTGTTTTTGCTGTGAACCGTGTATAGTTCATGCTGCCATTATAGGTCTACAGTCTATTTATCGTAAGTTGGAACCTACTGTAAACACATTAAGACATCCCACTTTGTTTACTGATTTAATCCTCTGTCCATCAATTAAAAACTGTGTTGCATCTCATTTTTCCCAGATAATAGTTTCCTGTTACTTATAAAATCATTAATGAAATTCAGGCCACTTAGCAATGATTATAAATGTAGTTATTTCACATATGTTAAATTATTTTTAATGAATATTAAGCACATTCTGAATCATTAAAAATAAATTTTTTCCAGTCATGCTGATTATAGTGTTTTGGTTTTGTTTTCCATTCATCACCTATTAACGCAAACATGGTTGTTTGTCTTAATAAGTGCATTTGATAACATTTTATTTGTGATTAAACGAAATAGATTTATTAATACAATTCTAATTTTTTCTTTATTTTGATGTTTAAAGTCACACTTTGTCCTATGTGCGAGATCGTCTTATATGTGAGTAAATATGGTAATTTGTCAAAAATAGAAGACTTAACATATACACATAGTATATTATTATTCATTGATAAATTATTATTATTAGTATAAAATCAAACTTTCGGTTATATTACATGATTAATATTTCATATAATATTTCAATGCTGATGAATTAAACATTCACATAAACATCTAATGAGATACTAATTGATGTGTTTAAAATTAATTTCAGTACATAAAATGTTATTCTACTTAAATAAAAGTATGTTCCATATTTTTTGAAAATGTAATTTGCAATCATTAATATGAAACATAAAATTGTTACCTGTATGAATTTTGCTAACACTATTATGTCTGACTAAATTTAAACTATTAATTAATTATAAAATATTTTTATTCTATATAAATAATTAAGAAGTCACAACTATAACATCTATGATATTAATATTTAAAAAATAGAAGAAACTAAATTTTTCAAAACATTTATATTAATATGACTAATAGACAAGAGAAATTAACATAGACATGTTTATTTCTAATTAGATCTTTAAGTTTATTAATGATAAATCTTGAAATTTAAAAAATAAGGAGAATATATCACAGGAATAAAAAATTAATAATTGAAATTTAACAATATATATAGAAATAACAAATTATACTTATAATGTTTCAAGTATAATTTGTATCTCCTTGAATCTAAGATGCATCATGAATTTAATATAAAATTTTAAATTTCTTTTAAGGAGAGAACATTTTAAAATAGTTTTTTAAATAGTAAAATAGTTAGTTAAATAGTAGTAAAAATTTTTATCAAGTTTTGTTAAGTAAAATGAAGTTAGAAAATAGTACAAATACCACAAATAGATAATGTTTCGCAGCCCTATTTCCATTTCTTATGCATAATAATGTCATATCGAAGGTGTTTTAAACATTGCAAAAGATGTTCATTAATTAATTTAAACATTCATTCCAGTAAAGCTCATTTTAACTCATGAATGTTGAGCGGTATAGCCCTAAATGCCTTTATTGGTACAAAATAGACCATGTGGTCTACTTGCAAAAACTGTCAATTATTATTTTGAAATATGAATGCAAAATTGAATCTAAGATGCACCTCTACTTTAGACAAGTGAAGATGAGTAAGAAAGAGAAGTGTTTTAGAATCAAGGAAAAATAATGTATTTTTATAATAATTTAATTACTTTAAATTATATTAATTAAAAAGTTTCAGCTGAATTTAAAGGCATTTGTTTTGAATTTGAACGATATTATTATAATGTAAAATATATGAACAATTTACATTAAATATAAATTACATAGTTTCTATTTTTTGTTTTTTAAAAACAGTTAGAAATAGAAACAAAATTGTATTATGAAATAAATGAATAATGAATGATATTATGCATATTACTTAATAACTAATGTAAATTTCTGTTGAAAAAAGCCCAAATTTTTGTTCCTCGGAGATTTCACTCTACTAAAACTTTTAGATTTAATGACAATGACCTGTTACTTATTAGCACTGGAAAAACCCAAGAGAAAAGACCATGTAGTGTGTGCATGATGGATTCCAACAATTATGCATATTTTATTTTATCAAATGAGAAACATAAATTTAAATTTATTTTAAAAATCTATTATAAAATAATTTATTAATGACTATTCAAAATTTTAAGAAACTTACAATAAAGTGGATTTTTTCTATTTATATACTTACAGTAATTAAATTTATAAAATTAATCTATTCCTGTTTCATATATAAAATATTTAGCTTAAAACTGTCACATTTTTCTGTCTTAAATGAAAAGAAATAGAAACAGTAGCATGGGGAATCAAAAAAAAAAAAAAATCATCAGAAAATTTTTTAACAAGTGGGTGAGTGAGGAGTAAAGTTCCTTAGTAACATTATAATTTGAAAACATTCAAATTTATTTTAGAACTAGCAGATGAACCAGGCATTGCCAAGGCAAAAAATAACAACAATGATTAAGATTATTAGATTATTTCGTACTTCTAACCCTTATATTATATTATAGTGTTTTATTTATATAACTTCAAAGGTTATCTTATGTAAGGGTTATCACACTGAGTGATCAATCTAACGCAGTTTAAAAATTCTTTAATTTATGAACAGTAGAGGAATAAAGAATTTTTAAAATCTGTTAGATTGGTTACTCAGTGTGATAAACCTTTACATAAGATAACCTTTGTATCTTTACATAAGATAACCTTATAGTATTTGATATAAATCAAATACTATGATATAACAAATATTAAAATGAAAACCATATAAAGAGTTTGGTTATTTTAATCTACCATTGTCATATTTATCAGAATACTCAGATGCTATGAAATGGTACAGTTTCATTGGTCAAGTGGACACCAATTGAAAATATGATATTTTAAAAAATTTAAGATATCATATTTTCTATTGGTTAGAGTTAATACAGTAGAACCTCGAAAACTCGGCCTAATGTGAACCGAAGGGTGGACGAGTTTGTGAAAATGCTGGGTTATTGGGAATGGGGTTAAAAAAAAATAAGTATGAGTGTTTCCTCAGAAAATACTGTACTGTACTTGTATGTATTGTTTACTTGAGAATATAACAGAGAATAAACTGCCCAAATACCCTTAAACAAAGGAAAAGTACGTCTTTTATGAAGGCATAGAGCCTTTACTACATGAAAATGAAAATTAATGAATACACTGTGTACAGTAATTNTGTAATTTGCAATCATTAATATGAAACATAAAATTGTTACCTGTATGAATTTTGCTAACACTATTATGTCTGACTAAATTTAAACTATTAATTAATTATAAAATATTTTTATTCTATATAAATAATTAAGAAGTCACAACTATAACATCTATGATATTAATATTTAAAAAATAGAAGAAACTAAATTTTTCAAAACATTTATATTAATATGACTAATAGACAAGAGAAATTAACATAGACATGTTTATTTCTAATTAGATCTTTAAGTTTATTAATGATAAATCTTGAAATTTAAAAAATAAGGAGAATATATCACAGGAATAAAAAATTAATAATTGAAATTTAACAATATATATAGAAATAACAAATTATACTTATAATGTTTCAAGTATAATTTGTATCTCCTTGAATCTAAGATGCATCATGAATTTAATATAAAATTTTAAATTTCTTTTAAGGAGAGAACATTTTAAAATAGTTTTTTAAATAGTAAAATAGTTAGTTAAATAGTAGTAAAAATTTTTATCAAGTTTTGTTAAGTAAAATGAAGTTAGAAAATAGTACAAATACCACAAATAGATAATGTTTCGCAGCCCTATTTCCATTTCTTATGCATAATAATGTCATATCGAAGGTGTTTTAAACATTGCAAAAGATGTTCATTAATTAATTTAAACATTCATTCCAGTAAAGCTCATTTTAACTCATGAATGTTGAGCGGTATAGCCCTAAATGCCTTTATTGGTACAAAATAGACCATGTGGTCTACTTGCAAAAACTGTCAATTATTATTTTGAAATATGAATGCAAAATTGAATCTAAGATGCACCTCTACTTTAGACAAGTGAAGATGAGTAAGAAAGAGAAGTGTTTTAGAATCAAGGAAAAATAATATATTTTTATAATAATTTAATTACTTTAAATTATATTAATTAAAAAGTTTCAGCTGAATTTAAAGGCATTTGTTTTGAATTTGAACGATATTATTATAATGTAAAATATATGAACAATTTACATTAAATATAAATTACATAGTTTCTATTTTTTGTTTTTTAAAAACAGTTAGAAATAGAAACAAAATTGTATTATGAAATAAATGAATAATGAATGATATTATGCATATTACTTAATAACTAATGTAAATTTCTGTTGAAAAAAGCCCAAATTTTTGTTCCTCGGAGATTTCACTCTACTAAAACTTTTAGATTTAATGACAATGACCTGTTACTTATTAGCACTGGAAAAACCCAAGAGAAAAGACCATGTAGTGTGTGCATGATGGATTCCAACAATTATGCATATTTTATTTTATCAAATGAGAAACATAAATTTAAATTTATTTTAAAAATCTATTATAAAATAATTTATTAATGACTATTCAAAATTTTAAGAAACTTACAATAAAGTGGATTTTTTCTATTTATATACTTACAGTAATTAAATTTATAAAATTAATCTATTCCTGTTTCATATATAAAATATTTAGCTTAAAACTGTCACATTTTTCTGTCTTAAATGAAAAGAAATAGAAACAGTAGCATGGGGAATCAAAAAAAAAAAAAAATCATCAGAAAATTTTTTAACAAGTGGGTGAGTGAGGAGTAAAGTTCCTTAGTAACATTATAATTTGAAAACATTCAAATTTATTTTAGAACTAGCAGATGAACCAGGCATTGCCAAGGCAAAAAATAACAACAATGATTAAGATTATTAGATTATTTCGTACTTCTAACCCTTATATTATATTATAGTGTTTTATTTATATAACTTCAAAGGTTATCTTATGTAAGGGTTATCACACTGAGTGATCAATCTAACGCAGTTTAAAAATTCTTTAATTTATGAACAGTAGAGGAATAAAGAATTTTTAAAATCTGTTAGATTGGTTACTCAGTGTGATAAACCTTTACATAAGATAACCTTTGTATCTTTACATAAGATAACCTTATAGTATTTGATATAAATCAAATACTATGATATAACAAATATTAAAATGAAAACCATATAAAGAGTTTGGTTATTTTAATCTACCATTGTCATATTTATCAGAATACTCAGATGCTATGAAATGGTACAGTTTCATTGGTCAAGTGGACACCAATTGAAAATATGATATTTTAAAAAATTTAAGATATCATATTTTCTATTGGTTAGAGTTAATACAGTAGAACCTCGAAAACTCGGCCTAATGTGAACCGAAGGGTGGACGAGTTTGTGAAAATGCTGGGTTATTGGGAATGGGGTTAAAAAAAAATAAGTATGAGTGTTTCCTCAGAAAATACTGTACTGTACTTGTATGTATTGTTTACTTGAGAATATAACAGAGAATAAACTGCCCAAATACCCTTAAACAAAGGAAAAGTACGTCTTTTATGAAGGCATAGAGCCTTTACTACATGAAAATGAAAATTAATGAATACACTGTGTACAGTAATTTACCTGATAAGACAGACCTCAGAAAAATCCTGTTGAATGGGTTATATAGATAGATAAAGCTGTCTATAATGAAAATTAATTAACTAAGGATTTTTTTGCCCTGCCAGGGTGTGGCCGAGTTATCCGGAGTGCTGGGTTATCGAGAGCCGAGTTTTCGAGGTTCTACTGTATTAGAAAAAATTTTTTTTCTAATATTAATTTTAAGAAACTGCACCATACACAGCCAAATATTAAATGGTAATCTGCCAATGAATCAAATCTTGCAGAAAAACAGACCAAATATTTAAACTTGGCAACCACTTAAAACATATTTTGTGCTTGCTGATAATCTTATATTATGTAATTTTCCTATTCAAATGCCACCATACCGCTGGTTCAATAGAAAGAAGGGACTGTCACTGAAAGGAGTCAAAATTAATTCAACCAAACCTGACGATAACTTAAAATTGGTCATCATCAGGATTATAACTAAACCTGATGACATATAAATTCCAACTGTCCCACCTGTCTATCCTTCCTTAATCTTGAGAAAGGAGTTAGACAGATGAAAGTCAAGACCAGATGTGAAAAGCTTAGGAGCAGGAGGACTAGATTAACTATATGCAAACTTCCAGTTTGGAATGGCAGTCACATTACTTCAATTTAAAATTTTCCACTGAACATAGTTAGATAGATGATCAAACATGACTCTATTGCTAACAGGAAAAATATGATGTACAGGGACAAGACACCACTAAAAGAATTGAGAACATTGTGACTATGTTACAATAAATAATCACTCGTTAAAATTAATTTAATTTATTTGGTTATGACAATGCAACACGTAAGTGATCTGTGGAAGAATGCATCCCAAGAAGACTTTTATGGGAAGCTGGACCTTATTTAGGTGTTACTAATGTGAAGAAAATCTGGAAAACTCTACATGACCAGCCTGTTGTCTATGCCCAAACCCGCAACTAACTAACTATCAGTGTTTGGTAGTTTTATCCACTTGGCTACTGGAGAGTGCTTATTGGAATTAAGAAAGTACCATTCAGAAATGAAAAAACCAAGTCATTACATGTGGAAAATTAAATACTTATATACTTACTATAGACTTTTCTCACAATTACACTTTCAATTCCACACAGGCAAATGCAATATGCTACCTGTCTCAGTAATGATACAGCACATTTATTTCATGCTATATCATTGTCACAGTAATTAAATGAATATAATATATATTTTTAAAAATGATATCAATTATTATAATTTTAAGCCAGTTTAAATATATTTACACAGTTTTGAAAATATATGTATTATATTGAAAAATACAGTATGATGGGAGAAAAACATAGGTCCTAATTCAGTAGATGGCGTTTCCCAGAATTTTTCGAATTTAAATTTTAACTTCTTAAAACAATTTTTTCACGATTGGAAAGAATCGAAAACTTTACCAAGAAATATTTTAAAATATTAATAGAAAAATATAGAAGTTTTAGTAGAAATGCTCAACCGAATATCCGTGAAATTGCATTCCAACAACAAGTACACAAGAATTCTCGGCAAATTAGAGCAGAAATGTGGCTGCAACAGATTTTTCATCGTCAAATGTACGTTTCTTTATCGTAAATTTTGTTAATTTCGAATTAATCTTTTATTCTTATTATTATTCTTTTTATTATTATTCAGTTTTAATGATTATACTAGCTGTATACACCGCAGTTGGTTATGGAAATGAATTTGTCTGCACTTTCACATCGATCGTCTATCCCATTTACGCTTCGTAAGTTTTAATTGTAGAGTACTGTATTTACTTTTTCGAATTTCGTAGTTTCTTACGTAACAGAATATTTAAATGCAGAATGAATGCGATTCAAAGAGGAACACCACGAGATACAGAAATTATACTGACATATTGGGTGATATTTGCATTAATTTATATGTTTGAAAATTTATTTAATGCCGTAATGACTTCGATTCCTTATTATTGGTTGATGAAGATAAACACCACTCTAAGTTCTTATATACAGAGTGGCCATTATTAGTTTCTATATTCAGAGCAGTCTGTAGCTGTAACTAATAAGTGAAATGACACAAAAATTTGTATACAGATTAAACAAAGATGTGGAAAAGGATTTTAAAAAGTGTTCAAAAATTTCAGCTCTGGGATGTTTTGGCATACGGTTTATTAAAGAAACGTTGCAACATTGGCAGACAAAGAATTGTATTACACTATACGTCAAAAACATCCCTGAAAAACATTTACGATCAGTTGTAGGACATATTGTTCATCGCCTTCAAATTTTAAACCTGAACAATTGGACACACATTGAATAATATTACTGACAGCAGTAAATAGCCTCTGCAGAAGGCATTTTTAGTTGTTTTTAGTGTATTTTTCCTTTAAAGTGCTCCAACAGAAATTTTGATTTTTGAATTAAAAATCTTTTTGCAAAATCTCTTTCTGCATCCTTTCTATGTGTATACAAATTTTGGTGTCAATTCGCTTATTGGTTATAGCTACACAGTGCTCTGAATAGAGAAACTTTAATTATGACCACCTTGTACTTCACGCCGAATTCTATTCGTTTCACATTCAAGAAATTATTTTTCAGATGTTATTCCTGATCTTCTGCTTCGCTCCAGTTTCTAATAATCTTTCATTATTTCTCTATCGAAACGTCTTGAGTGTACTGATGACAAGTATTTTAGTAGAGAAACGCAATGGTTCTGATTTGGATAATGAACTCGCAATAAAATCATCCGAAATGAAGACAGACAGTTGTAGACAAGAAGATTGTAGAGTTGAAAATTCCGATCAGGAGGAAGATTTTTAAATAGTTAATGCTCGGAAAATAGGATGTGATGTGTTTAAATTAAATATTTAGTCATACTTCAACTTCGATATATGTTTTATAAAATTATCTAAATACTATATATATAATTACTTGTCCTGACTGACTGACTGAGTCACTGATTCATCATCGCCCAGAGCAAACCGCTGAACCTAAACAGGTGAAATATTGTACACAGTTAGGGTACGTCATGGCAACGCACACTAAGAAGAAATTTGTCGAAATTCTCCCGCGGTGGAAAGAGAGAGAGCATTTCATTTCAGACATTGTGATAAATATTCTTATATATTTCNAATTGCAGTTTCCCCAGCAACTGTATGGAGATGTATGCATAATCATAAAAATGCCAAATTTATCAAAATGACTGCCAAACCGAAATTAACACAATTGCACAAAACAGCTAGATTAAAGTGGGCCAAAGACAAGATGACATGGAAAGAGGAATAGAAACAAATAGTCTTTTCAGATGAAAAAAAGTGGAATTTGGATGGACCTGACGGTTATAGTCACTACTGGCATGATTTGAAGAAGAACGAAGAAGTCAGAATGAGCAGACAGCAAGGTGGAGGATCTGTGATGGTGTGGGCAGGATTTGGATGAGGAGGTAAAACAGATATTGTATTCATAGAAGGTAGAATGAATTCAGAAAAGTATCAAGAACTGTTGTATCAAAATTTAATAACTTTTGGACCACTTACTGGAGGAGAAAACTGGCAATTCCGACAGGATAATGCTGCCATTCATACATCAAAGTCAACTAAAAATTGATTTGCTGAAAAAAAAATTACTGTAATTGATTGGCCATCATGGAGCCCTGATATGAACCCGATAGAAAATATTTGAGGCATTATGAGTCGTCTTGTTTATGGCCAAAACAGACAATACAATACTGTAAATGAATTGAAATTAGCTATTATGGATTGTTGGGAAAATATTAAACAAGAACAACTTCAAAAACTAGTAAAATGTATGCCTGATAGAGTATTTGAACTAATTAAATCAAATGGTGGACCTACAAAATATTAAAACATCACAAATTGTTTTTTTTGTACCCATGTGTTTATACTTTTGAAACAATCAAAAATTGAAAATATGTGATAATTTTTTTTGTAATTGTAAGATTGCTGTAAAAATTTCAGAAAATGTTTAAATTGATGTTGTAAATCAGTGATTCTCAAACCTTTTCGATCCACCGCCCCCTTTGTTCCATAAAATTATACCCAACACCCCCAACCCATTTTCTCTTGTGTGAGAAAAAGATTGGAAATATTCTTAGGAAAACTTTTCTATGAATCTCACACTTTGTGCCCTTACTGTACAGTCTGGTCTAATGAAGCACGCACCTGCGTATAATCGATAAACGCAGTCGTAACTTATCGCTTGCATTTTCAGGACACGCCACCTGTTATCATAGAGTTTTGAGATGGACCCTTCCGATCCGTGATGAAATAGGGATGAGGCAGTTGCTCAAGAGGGGCATTTAAGCGGTGTCACCTGACTGTTTTAATCGACAAAACTAATCGATGATAACTTTTTTATCCCCGCTTATATAGCGTGAGATTTTTAAGTGGAAAGTTACGGTAATCATTTATAAAAATTTACGATTATATCTTTTATTTCAATCAGTTTTTCCCTTTCAACGTCTTTTTATATTTATTTTATTGTAATTTGATTCGAAAAAGGAAATAAATAAACATATCAGCTTTCACTTAGCTCAAGTTTCAGGGACCAACGGCGGTTTCGTTTGTAATTGGAGAAGAAAGTGTTTTCTTTCACGGTTAGTGTAGAATTTATTATTTTAGCCGTCATCCATCCCATTGCCATTATAAACAAGCTGTTAATCGTAAATAAAAGATCCGGCTTCCGTTCCGATGTCATTGGTGCTATCTATCCCTTTAAATGTTTTCTCTTCTTCTGTATGTTCAACTATTAATTTTCCAATACTTTTTAATATTGCACGAGACATCTTCATAATTTCAGCTAATAAATCCAATATTGCTCTCTGAANCGCCATCTATGAACAAGTAGCACTATTAGTGTACTAGACCAGACTAGACGTTCACGGTGCCACAGTTTATAACTTTGTTAAATTTCTTCTGATTTTAATTTGTATGTAAAATTTTATTAATTGTGAATTGCAAAAAGGCAAATGAAAAGCAACAAAAAACTAAAAAAATTACTAGAACCACAATGGAACTAAAAAAAGAGATTGTTCAGAAATATGAAGGTGGCATGCATGTTTGAGATTTTAACTGTTGCATACCGTATTCTGAGAACGACAATATCAACAATCATGAAAAATAAAGACATTATTAAATCTGCTAACGTTGCGAAAGGGGTTAAATCAATTTCTAAACAGAGATTGAAAACATTAGATCATGTTGAGAAATTGCTTTTGCTTTGGATAACTGAAAAACAGTGTGCTGGCGACAGTGTATCAGAAGCAATTATTTGCGAGAAAGCTAAAAAGATACATGCTGATCTCATGAAAATCAAGCAGAAACTAGCCAGGAAAGCGATGTGTTTAAACCAGCCATTTTTTTTTTTACATGAGAACAGATTAATCATTTTTACATTACTTCTTATGGGAAAGATTGGTTTGGTATACGTCCTACTCAGTATAAGTCCAAACATCAGGAACTGATTAAGGTCATATACTGAGGTCCCACTGTACATTAAAGTTAAATTTGTTTGCTGGAATTGTAATATTAGCATAACTCAAACTCATAAAAGTGAGTAATTTCCTAAAATATCATTGTAATTACCTTTTTTTTTGCTAACAATGTTGCAACAAGTTTAACATCTGGTGGATCTTGAGAGACTGCATCTAATACCATATAACGTTTTTCTTTTGCTATATTCAAAACATCAAGTAAAACACTGACTTCTGTTAAGGCACTCCTATAAAATATACAAAATTTTAAATTATATTATTATTATTAGCTCATAAATAACATCACTATTTATCTGAATAATTTATTTATAAAAAAAATATCAAAAATATTATTTAAAATATTTTATAAATCTGCAATTTTGTATACCAGACAAACTTTTAAATTCTCACATAAAATTAATAACTGGTAATATTTCAAACACAAGTAAAATACTGTTTTTATGATGTTAAAAGATAAAAACTGAGTTCAAAAAACAAATGTAAAGTAAATATATTTGTTTTTTGAACACAGTTTTCATCTTTCAACTGATAATATTTATTTAATAAAGAAATAATTAAATATGTACAGATATCCCCCGTATAAGACGGTTGTTAGGCCAAGACTCCACTAGCGTAAAAACTGGTGTAAAAACCTTTGCCATAAAAACTTTTAATCGCGTGACCTATTTGTGTTGGTGTCTGAATTGCAGTGGAGGTCCGGCTAGCAAAGTTTTTACGGCGACGGTACTATCGAAGTTATAAAGACAATTATTACATTGTACAAGTTCTTTTCTGTACTATAATTACAAATGTAGTAAAAATAATATCTTTACTTTCATATATTAACTTTTATTATCGTATTATTAATTAAGATAACATACAGCACTTATTAAGCTTAGCTTTTTTCATTATATACTCCTCTAAATTGAAGGATTTTCCTTTGGCCGTCCATATTGCATGATTTAGGCATCCATTATTATAATCGGGATACTTCTTGTCGTAGATACACGAATACTTTTGGATGTTTTCGATAAATCTTTCCAGATCTATTCTAGAGTAGCCATGAGGGAATGTATACAAAAGCTTGTTTTTTGCCATTTTTGCACCACGTCACAATGACCTAGATTTAACTGACTTCTGATTGGTGGATGGTACCATTTTACGGCCGTATTTGCGTCCAAAGTTGAACACTGCTCAACTCGCTTTTATGCTGGTTTTATGACCTGCTCAAGCGTAAAATATCAGGGTCACGTGATTAAAAGCTTTTATGGCGATGGGTTTTTTCGCCGTTTTTACGGTAGTAGAGTCTCGGCCTTAGGTTCTGAAAAAAATGTCGTGTTATATGTTTCCATGCTATATGAAACAAAGGACTAGTACAAAACATAGGGTTAGACTTCAAAAGTTAGCAAAAGTATACTATTTTTTTCATAATTAAGAAAAATATATTTATTAAAGCAATCAATAATTAACTAACAATCACAATTGAAAGTATTGGACATTAAAATTAATTTTTTATTCACTGTTAAACAAGGACCTTTTATTTTTGACAAAATATTGTCATCATCTGAGCTTTATTGTTGACCTTAATCTGAAGTTTCAGGAAATCTTGATATTCTATTTTTTTCATAAAATTTGATATTTTCATTTGCTTGCATTTGCCTAAGAGATCTTTAAAAATTTAGTCGATTTATGTAATAACTTTTAATTTAATCTAAAAAACAAAACACAGCAACAGTCTTTTGAGTTCATTTAGAGCACATTCACCAATGACAGCAACACCTGGTTTTGTAGGATAGCTGGAATAGGAAGCTAGAAGAAGAAGAAAAATGCACACTTAGTACTCATAATAAAGAAAACAAACATCCAGTATTCTTTATGAGTACTAATGGAGAATGAAAGGCACAAAACAATATTGAAAATTTCAACATTCTAAAATCCATAGGCAAATATGAGACAACACACATACTTGCTTAAAAAATACTGAATGACAGAGTTTGCACTTAAAAGTTGTGACATTTTGTACAATGATGTCTCCAATTTTTCTTCACACAGAAAAATGCTGAGTTTTTAAGACCCAGAAATTTTTTATTTGATTAATATTTTCAGGGTGAAATCATCCCATCTTTAAATTACTTTAAAACAAAATAAAATTGAACATTTCTAAATACAAAAATCAAACAGTTACTTTATATTCTTAAATGAAACGGCATGCTTTGAACACATTAAATCAAATTCAAAGAAAATTGAAGTAATAGGAATAAACAAAATTATATATATATAAAATAAAATTAAGTTCTTTACAGTAAAAAAAAAAATGTTGAACTTTGAAAACATTAATCAAATAAATGACTTCTAGCTCCTAGAAACTCTTCTAGCTAGGGATTGTAAATTTACCAACTTTTTCATTTACTGGTAATTCGGTAAATGAAAATTAAAGTACCAGTTTACCAGTAAATTACCGGTAAATTTTTTCCTGAAAAATAAAATTAAGATGATAAAAAATATGTCATTTTGATTTCCATTTCACATTTTTTTATTTCAAAGATACAGAATATAAAAAATATAAGAATCAAACTATTATTCTAAACAAACTATAATAATAACTTTTAGAAACAGAAATAAAATAATACAGAAAAATAAAAATACAACAGAAATGATATATAGTACCTAATACCATTTTATTGATTACCATTTTTTTAAAAATAACTTCTCAAGAAACTTAAATTATTTATAGTCTTATCTCCTAATTTTGACGATCTGTATCTGTAATCTGTACGATTTACACCGCCTCTTAAACCCAAGAAAGTTTAAATTAAAATTAAACAAAAAATATTAAACATAAAATTAATAATTAGGTATATTTTTGCTTACACTTACCTGTTTTTTTTATCTTCAATATCCCTTTAGCCCTTTTAAATATTTATAAACACAATATTTTCTACATAAAAATTTCTAGTATGGATTTTTTATTTGCCGAATTACTGGTAAATTTCAAAAATTTACCAGTAAGTTTACCGAATGTTTTTTTTTGTCAATTTATCGGTTAACCGGTAAATCGGTATACAATCCCTACTTCTAGCATTCTTCTGTCTGAATGTAAACTTGAAGGAATGGAGGCTTACATAAGATAAGTTGCCTTAGAACTAAAAACGTTTCTACTTATATTTTCCATAAATTACAAAAATAATAAAATGATGTGTTTATATGTAATTGCAATATGTATTTGTTTCTACATATTGAAATATATTAGAAATTACCATTATTTTACTACTAATTACAATTTGAAAAGCAATAAAAATAGTCAGTTGCATTTTCAAAAGAAAAGTAGCAATATAATACTGCTACAAATATTGTTGCTTTAAGCTGTAATTCTATCATAATACTTGCAAATTGCTACAGCTATTAAAAAGATGTTAGGTCATCAGTAAACACTTGTTAACAATAATGACTTACAGTATGTTTCAAACTTATGTAAACACTTCTTTCTACCAATAAAGTCCTCTGCCACCAAAAACAATGACAAAATACTTCTGAAATTCATCTAATAAAATACATCAAACTAAACCAAAGAGCCAGTTTATAATTTAAATTAAAAAGAAAGTGGCTTCTTGATTTAAGGTTTGATGTGTTTTATAAGATGTATATATAATACAGAGTTGTTATTTCCATATGTTGAAGACTTTCAAAATTAATTTTCCTTCATTTTCTATTTCTGAAATTTAGCAAGAGACCAAGTTACCTTGCTAAATTTTTGTTGTTCTGTGATACTCATGAAAAGTTACAATATGTTTTTGACAGCAACTACAACAAAATAACGGCAATTATCACAAATATCTTCACTTCTGGCAAATCACTGTCTATGTGAAACCACTTTAAATGTTTTGGATTTTATAATTAAATTCAGAACCATTTAAATAAAAGGATATTCAATGTAACAAGTCAATCTGAGAAATTCAAATTCTATAGTTATATTTCTAAATATTAAGTAAAACTATAGAAGTTTACCATTATGCATTTTCTTTTAATTTTTTTAGATACATATTTGATAGCCATTTCCAAAACAAAGAATTTTGTTGGAGCAACCTATATAAACAAAAAATTTCATAGGACTACTTACTGAGTATGCACCATTTGAGACACCATTGCTTAAGCTTGCTTTCATCATGGAGCAGCATGTTGGACAGCAGATGTGTACAAAATGTCACACGATCTTGCTTCAACATAACCAATCACGACTACCTAAAAACGTCAGTTGCCTCAGCTTTGTGACATCTCTAATGTATTTCCTGAAAACTTTCTTCTTACAAAAGACTGTTCCTTTAGGATGAACTGTAGAGGCACAAAGTGATAGAGCAGAGACGTCATATTTCCTAACACACAATTCACTTCTTTTCAAACTCCAAAAAATTGGCAGACCATAGTTTGATAAACTGTGATCCTTGGGCTTTTACTGATTAAACAGAGACATAATAAAGGCTAATCTCAACATTACAAACCTTTTGTGTAAAGTTATATCTATTTCATTTCAACATTTTTAGTTCATTTTCAAGAAAGAATTATTTTTGTTAGTGAGACATTTTGTCTTCATTGTTTCATATAATCATAAAAATAAACTGAAGTAATAACTGTTTTATAAATAATTTCACAAGAATACTGGTCCACAAACAAAAACTTTGAGAAGCACTGCTCTAACACACATTACATCTACTGTTTTAAATGAAACACTTTATTTCTAAACAGAAGCCTTTATATAAATATAGCTCATATCTTAAAATAAAACAATTAATTATATAAAACATATATATTTGTAAATTTAGATAACAAATTTATAGTTATAAGCTGAATGCTTATCAATCTGAATTTTAAATTAATTCAATTATTTGTTCTGTTTTTATGGAGTTAATCTTGAAAAATAAATCATCATTGTCAAATCTTGTCTGGGCGAGTTTTTGTGTTAAAACGTTCCAGTATTATAGAAAACATAACTAATGCAATGTTTACTGAACTGTGATCTGCCAACTTTTCAGAATCCATAAAAAAGGTGAATCATGTTTTAGAAAATATGACTGCTCTACCACACAATGTCTTGAAAGTTCAGTCCAAAAGAACAAAGTCTTTTGCAAGAAGAAAGTTCTCAGGAAAGATGACAGAGATATCACGTGGCTTCGAATCAAAGCAATGTGACATTTTGTATGCATCTGCCATCAAATGTGACATCCCACGAAGACAAGCTTAAGCAATGGCTTTTCACACACAGGACACAGCCTGTAAATACAGTAGAGCATTGATTATCCAAATATCGATCAACCAAAAGCTTTCCAGTCAGCAAATTTAAATTTCCACTAGTGCTGTGGCGCTGCAATCTTTGGCTATGTCTTGGGCTACATCAATATTATTTTGTTGGCAGCACAGGCATGACTATGAGAGGGTACTTAAGGATGTGCCAGGATTTGAACGAATTTTAACATGGGATAGGTTAATATATTTTTTCATACATGATCGGTTATACGAAAAATCGATTTTTTTTCCCCGAACAGTCCCAGTCCCCAATTGATTTGGATAATCGATGCTCTACTGTAGTCCTATAATTTTTTGTTTATAGCACTTTTTATACGAGTTGTAAAGAAACAATTGTATGCGTTTTCTTAATATCTATATGTGTCTCCTTTGCAAATAAAATTGAGAGAGCATCGATGTATTGCTTAGAAATAATTTTTTGTGATTTATTAATTTTCAAATAATAATTTACCTTAATTTATTACGAACAGAATCCCAAGGCCATAAAGACGGTTGAAAAGTAGCGAGCTCCTTACTATCTTCATTAGTTTCTGTATATTCTGTTACCTCATCATTATCAACTTTACTGAAATCGATTTTGTGAGCTAATTTGGTCAAGTTCTCTGACATAGAAAGAGGCCTGCAATTGACAAAAATTTAAGTAAATGTACTTATATTTGTGAATGACAATAAAATGACAAGTCTTACTGAGTATAAATTTCTTGTCCATCGTAGGTGATTTCTTGGACTTGATATTCTTGAGCAGCTTCTACACTTACGTTTACCGACAGAGCCATAACTTAAAATATTTTTATAGGAAATTCATAATTAAAAAATATACACTCTACAAGCATTTCCTTCACAAGGCGGCGGCCATTTTACTTTTGCATATGAATAATTGCAACTAGAGCGCCATTACGGTCGTTTATGAAAATACAATTTACTTTTTTTTTTTATTTTTGTAGGTTTACCTTTATTGATAAATTCTTTTAATTCAAAAGGATTTAATTGCTATTATTTTATTAAAATAGATGGATAGCATTTTTTTCAGTTTTTGGCTCTTATCGCCTTATGCCTTTTACTTATAAAAAAGCCTTTAATATTGCTCTCTGATAATTGCCGATAATTAAGAAATACGTGATAAATATCATTAGTCTCACTATTGGAAAAAGAAACCTTATAACGTTTTATATTTATAATTATTATTGAATGACAAAACGCTTAATTTTGAGGGTAGTGATGAGTTTTATAAAAAATTTGTAAATGTTAATAACAAATAACTTCTTAATTAAGTCCGGCCTCTCTCGAGATATGACACATGATCTTTAACCACCAGAATTTAATAGCACGAATGCTCTTTGTACACAAGCTATCGTGCCAAATTTCTTTTCTTGTAGTCGCCAACACACACACATGCACGGAATATTTTTTTTCTGTTTTTTGGAATTTTTAAAAACTATTTCCGCCCTGAGAGCACTAAGAGGGCCTCCTTCAGCAAGCCCATTATGGCAGAACCCATTATGGCACCTTGCTGAAGGGCTTGCCTCGTCGTCACCACCCGGCCGCCCCATTGTGAGCGGCCGGGTGGTGACGGAGGTCCGACAGATCCGGACAGACCACCTCCAAAAATTCTTGGGGAGTTTTTGACCGTCCGGATTCGATCCCGGAACCCAGAGCGGTTGGCTGCCACATTGACCGCTCGGCCACCCAGCTCCCCTTTTTTGGACTTGTTTATGTTCAGGTCTGAAAACCTAGAGATTTGCAAAAATCTCTGAATTAAAGTTGTCACGATTTCAATACTTCCCCAATACTCTATATAACAATCAGGAAAGTAAAATTTAAAATGTTTAGAAATGCATTTAACTTATTGCTACAGAATATTTTGTCATGTTTAGAAACATTTAAATAAAGGGTTAAAGAAAGAAATGTCTTGTTGTTTACTTTCAAACTTAAAAAACTAAACAGGGCCATTTTGATTCGCACTAGCTCAGTTAAGGGTTAAAACTCTTCATTTCCTTCGCACATTTTTACACAACCAGTTAAAATTCCCGCGTTTCTATATGCAGCGAGAGTGTAGCGAAATGACGTCACGAGCAGTGTTGGCCAATTAGAAACCAGTTTCAGTGTGTTCGCTGTAAAGCGCTTCTCGAGCGCTGCATAAAGAAACGCGGGAAATATTCCAACTCGTTGCCTTTATACGATACAAATGCCACGCTCCTCGACTAAAAGGAAAATGGCGGACGCGTATTGAAATTTTTTTTTAACACGGCGTCGCTACGGCCACTCTATATAGAATATATTCTAGCTCGTTGCCCCGATCGCATATTTTACAGAATATAAAAAAAGTTAGTAACTACTAGAGGTCGCCACCGCAACGACTAAAAAATCATCTACGGGACGCAGCGTTTCACTAAAAGAAGCAGACGACGTATTCCATTGAAGTACAGTAATTATTTTTAATTATAAAAATAAGAAATAAATTATTTCTGTTTTTATCATTATTTGAAAGGAAATTTTACTGTATCTTCGCTCTCGACAGATAAAATATTCTCTTTATATTATTATTAATCACTTAAAAGTCATCGAAATATTTGAAAAAGTAGCTTAATCGAATATTTTAAATCCAGAAATTTCCAATCAAATTTTCGTTCTTTTCTCCCGATAAAGTTCGAATTTATTCATTTCGGTCGCGACGTTAAAAAGTATTCGAAGAAAACAAATTCATTTCTGTGGAATCATTTACGTAAATTTAGTATTTATTTTATTTTTATGTATAATTTGTCTACAATTCCTTACGAAAATTTAAATTTTTCTAGCCCAGATAGCGAAGAAGATAACCTAAGAGTGATAGAAGAGTTTAATTAAAATGGAAGACGAAAACTGGCAGAAGTTGACTGGAAAACGTAATGCGGAAAGTAAAAATATTAGCTGCAAAATGAACGAGAAAAACTCAGTTACTACCGAAAGACTGGAGACACGTGGTGCAGATTTGATGGCATTTTCAGAACAATGGAAAAGTGCCACCAGACCATTCTGTGCTGAATCGACTTCTAATGCTTCTAAACGACCTGTTGCGGATACCACAGAAGATCGAATTATTTGGCCTTCCTTCTGTACTTCATCTAACAATGTTGAAAATAATGCTGGCTGTTCTTTCACATTCAATAATTTCTGTGAAGTAGAAAGGTTTGACTTATTTTTTTTTTCCTAATTAAAGGCTATCTTAATTAATAATTGATCGACTAAATGAAATTCTAAATATATAGAAAAATTAACATCTTACTAGAGTATAAGGTCTAACATTCAGATATAATTTCGTTGAAACAGAATATACAACCCGCCATATTTATAATTTATGTATCGTATCATAATAGGAAAGGATTTGAAGATGATCCTTAAGACCTTAACCCGAGATATCTCGGGCTGCACGTGAGGATGCACAGTCCTTAACCCGAGTTATCTCGGACATAGGCCTTAAGGGCCTCATAAAAAAGGGACTTGACATAACTTTTCCAAAAAAGTATGGATCAGCATATATACATCGTTATCTGTGATCTCTGCAAATTTCATGAATTATTTTGGCCGCGAAAATATTTTATGACGATTTTTTAATTAGGTAGTTAATTCGTTTTTATAGGAGTTTTTTTTTTTATCAAATTAATTAAATCGTTCCAAATTTCTATTTGACCGATTTGACTTAGGTAAAATTTTTTAAAACGCTATTGGATGTTTTTTATGACATCAGCAGGTATTTTTGTTTTTTGTTCAGTAAAATTTTTTCCCANTTCTATTTGACCGATTTGACTTAGGTAAAATTTTTTAAAACGCTATTGGATGTTTTTTATGACATCAGCAGGTATTTTTGTTTTTTGTTCAGTAAAATTTTTTCCCATACCTTTTTTCGGTCCCCTGGTAATTTAATAGCATAAAAATCTAAAATATTGTGTTGTATTTGAACAGATGCGGTAATTTAGCTCTTCTCCAGCTTTATATCAACATTCCCCTGAAGCTTACATGAGAACTATCCGGGAAAGCTGAGTCCAGCTGTTCTCAAGGTCAACGGGTTTGTTTACAATGTAGACTGCCCGTGTGAAATTTCACGCCTTGTTAAATGAAAGAATAACAATCGGTGCAGCTATATTTAACAAATAAAAGCATTCATTTTAAATTATTTTTAATTTTTTATATAGTTTTTCTGTAAAAAACACTTTTTGGAGGTTGTTTATTTCGCGGCAATTTTTTTACTGTCAGATTCGCAGTTGAGTGGAAATAATTATTTAATATAAAAAATAAATTACTTAGAAGATTTCCAAGTGCCATTAGGAGTTAAAGAATAAGGCTTAAGGAGCTAGTCAAGATCATCTTCAAATCCTTTACTTCGGGTCGTGAAAATGCTTCTTAATATCAAGGGCGTATACTGATAAGGTGTTGGTTTTCTATATATTAAAGGACATTTTCATTATTATTTTGTGTTAAAAAATTTACAGAAATAGACCTGCATATCGTCGAAGTAGACGATTTTATCCTGTAAAACGTGGATATAAACCTTCTTCACAACGTTCTAGAATAAGATTTAATATGGATCAAAGTGTCGAGATACTTAGTTTAAAATTAGGCAATATTTTGCGAAAGCAAGATGAAATAAAGTATGCCAATGCGCAACTCTCTCGATGGGCAAGTTACTTTTTTCGTGAAATAAAAGAATAATTACAATTAATATAATTAACATGGTATGAAATTTCCATATAGATGGAGCGTGTATACGAAAAACTTAAAAATAATCAACAAACAGTTAATGAACAACTAAAATTTCTAACTCGACAGTTATCCGAGTTACGAGAGATGAATATCTTAGAAAATGAGGAACAATATATGATCCTTCAAAGAGAAATGGACTTTAAAATCCGAGCCTTGCACCGACAACTAGATAAGAAAATTGGAGTAATTAACGACAAAAGTGATTTTGCAGTGATAGAAAATTATAATCTTACAAATGAAATTGAAACTTTGAGAGACGAAAACAGAAACTTGCATAACGCATTAGATTTGGAACGTCAGAAATTGAAAATACTTAGACAAGTAAGTTTTGTTTTTTTGTAGTGGCTTTGAGAATAAATTTAATTTTTATATTAGAATATCGTCATATTTTATGCTGCAATATGAAATAAAATTTCATATATTGTTTAAATATTTATATCGTAGTTGCAAATCCAGCAAGATGGTCTTGAAACATCTTTCGAAAAACCAAGCGAAAGATGTAAAATTAGGCAACAAAATAAGATCAAAAGTTTAGTGAATTCAAATAAAAAGGCTGAATTTGTTATAACTTCACGGAATAAAAGAAACTCGTTTTTGGAAACAGAAGGTCAAGAGTCAAGCAATTCATCGCGAAATAAAAATAAAAGGTAATATAAACGAATTACATTCTTTGAAATTAAAATATAATTGTGAAGTAAATTCTCAAAATAATTTGTTTAACAAAAATTACTATAAAATGCCAAAATTATCAAACAGAATAATTATTAATGAAAATGAGCTTCAAGAAAACTCGCCATCTACCAGTTTTGAAGAAAAACCACAATTATTCGACGAAATTGAAGATGCGACAACCTCGGAACAAACTGAGAAAAACAGAATGGAGAAAACAGAGATAAATGGAGAAAACAGAGATAATGGAGAAAACAGAGATAAAATCGCTTCAGATTCTTTGAATTTAGCTCTTTGGATCCGTCGAAGAATGGTAATAAATAATATTTCCAACGATGTTTCTGAAGGCAATCCTTCAAATAAAAGTATAGAAAATAATCAAGCAAATGGTAACAGCTTAGAGCCGTTACTTAATGAATTATCGTCGGAAGAAGGAAACCATTGGAGCAGATCAACAACGCCTTCCATCATAACTGAATAGGAGAGAGCGGATTCTACTTGTCAGCAAAGGTGCCAAAATTTACGCAACGATAATGCTGAAGAAATAAATTCCGAATTTCCGATCTTTATTCGCCAATTTAAAAACGGATGCGTTAATATCCATAAAAGAATAGAGAATGTCCTACAACGTTTCAGATGCCAGAATCAAAAATATCGTTCAACTTTTTGTTTCTTCTTTTGTTTCTCTTTCGTAATTATTACGTGTATATTGCTAGGTATAGTACTTCAATACCTGTTCTTTGGCATGTGCATAAACACACGCATTATACTATGAAAAATTTAATAATATGGTTTTATTAGAAACTAATTAAATTATATGTAAATTATTTCTTTTTGCCAACGATAAAAAATATTAACAAAATTCAAAACTGTTCCTATTAAAGAACGTTAATTGTCATTTCTGTCAAATTTATTTCTTGATTAATTATTTAATGAGTATAAATCATTTTTTTAATTATAGTATTTTATATTGTAATTCATTATACAGTATTATATTATTTTAATAATTGTAATGCAATATTTTATTACTATAACTAAGTAGCGTATATTCATTAAGGCTGTGTACACACTAGGCGTTTTTAAACGCGCGTTTTAAAGAACCAAGAGTTCTGCATAGGCATATATACTCAAACGCGCACTTTTGGCCAAGTGCGCGTCAAACGCGCGTTGATAGATTTTTGTTAAAACGCGCGTTTTGAGATATATGTGCTGCCATGTTGTTGTACATTCGATCGCGCGCTTTCGGGTAGAGTGGACGTACGTTGGCCGAATTGGAGAACGATCATTTCGATACTGATCTATTTATTGATGAAATCTAAAGGAGACCAGCCATCGTCAAATGATTTTATAGATACAGTAGAACCTCGAATATCCGGACTAATTGGGGATGAAGGTAGTCCGGATAAGGAAAAATTCGGATAATCGAAACAAATTCTTTAATTTGTCTTTTAATGATAATACAACACGTTTTCTTTTCGATGACATATCGGTAATATTAAAAGTAAATACTGTATTTAAATCGTGATCAAATTTTCAAGAAACAAACGTTCGTATTGAATTTGGACTACTACTGACCAACGCTAACAGACTACCTATTGTTTAAAAGGCCCTCTGGTGGCGCAAGAAGACGGATTTTATAAAATAAAAAGCAGTTGAAACTGCATTTTTATGAATAAAAATTTGACAAACTATTTATCGTTTTATGACGAGTAAAATTTTTTCTTCGCGTTCGCGACTTTTAAGTAATGCATAAACCTTCGAAACACGAGGCCCTTCGGTCCGCGAGGCGTAGGCGGTGGCCCACGTTGCCCATGCCTTACGCCGTCCTTGGTCATAGAAATGATGTAATTTGAAAATAAAATTATTTATAAATACGTATGTCAAGTTATATTTTTATTACGACGCAAAATATATTTAAGAGTTTACGGCCACTGTGCCGGGTGATACGCTGTAGAAACAAAAAGTTATGCATTCCATCACGTATATAAACAGTATCGTAATTCGCCAAGTGCAAATGAGCAAATTCGTAAAATTTTTGTTTATTTTGAACAATCCGGATAATCGAAAATCCGGTATAATAGAGGTCCGGATAATCGATGTTCTACTGTATTCTAAAAGAATTAAAAAATTTGGGTTCATATTAGCTTAATTTTGGATACAACGTCAGAAACATTCCATGCGTCAGTCTATCTCGTAATATTGGATGTACCCAAAATTCTCTTTGCCTCTGCCATCGTCTTTTATAGCGACTATGGAGGAGGCACACACAAGCATTTTCTTTTACGTCCATTTCCAAACTGAGCCAGTGCTAACGCTCCACTAAACGGTCGTCAAACGCCGAGCTAACGCGCGTTTAACGCAAAACGCCTAATGTCTACAAGCCCTAAATTATTAAATACTAGCAAAGAATGTCCAGTGTCGACCGGTAACTCAGGGTCGAATCGTCCTCTTTGCAAGTAGCGTGTGTTTCCCGCAGGATGGCAGAGAAGGTAGCAGGGTGCAAAATTTGGTGCAAATCAGTCAAACGATTTGAGAATTTGTGAGGGGTGAAAACGGGGAAAGAACTGAGGGTCCGAGTTTTGAAGTAGCGTATATTTTTTGAAAGATTGTAAAGAGTAACTGTGCATACTTGTCCAGATCTTTCTAATGGTTTGGGAGTTTGAGGCAGTTAGTGAAATCAGAGAGGGGACCGAGTTTTATGGTAGTCCATATTTTCCGTAGGGTACCAGCAGGGGCGCCGCTAGCAGTTTGAACGCTTGCGTGCAATACCGATTATGCCGCCCCCTGTTTAACTACGATTACCTACGCTGAGCTTGCCAGAAAGGCTCTTTAGTGTTGTCTCATAAGGGTGTGAAAAAAGAAAAGAAATACTTTACAAAGAAAATCTATTTATTATTACTAAGTTATTTTTGTTTACTTAAGTGTAAAACCATATAAATATTTATCTATAGAAATTGAACTTCTCTTGCCTTTATGTTTGCGAAATCTCAATGCTCCCAATTTTCATGTATCCAAGCAGTCTAAGATTTCATGTTCAATTGAAAATATAGCTAAATTATTTAATCTTTGCTGGTGCGTTGTTGATCTTAAATGGATTTTTCATAATTTTAACTTTGAAAAGGACCCTTCACCAAATGCAACTGAAACCGGCAATGTAAGTAATATTCTTAGTGCTATTGCTGTGTTCGGAAATGTTGAAGTTAAGTCATTAGTAAAAAGATATTGTAATAAGGTTTGAGGATCATTAGACTGGTTTTCTGGAAAATGCAACTTTAAAGTATCGATTTCATTAAACAAATCAATACCATCAATGTCTGTTTCACTACNGGTTTGTGGATCATTAGACTGGTTTTCTGGAAAATGCAACTTTAAAGTATTGATTTCATTAAACAAATCAATACCGTCAATGTCTGTTTCACTACTCGAATCGTCTTTAAGCTTCAGATTTAAATCCTAACCAAGTTAAAATATCATTAATTATACTTAGACCCATGTCAGAAGAATTATTAACAAAATAATTGTAATTTGATATGCGATAGAACTGTTCGAATGCGTACAAGTACAAATTGAGAAGGAAGCCCTGTGGGGATTCCCTAATTTCGCCAGTCCTGTCAACTTCGTCATAGAGCACGACTATGAGTACTAGGCTTTAAGGCCCCGCCAGACAGTTCAACCTGCCGACAGAAGTTTCGCATTGCATCCTAATTCTGATAAATGCCAATAGAGTCGCTGTTAATGCTATAATATAGGCTAAATAAGAATATAGGAATTGCGCTCCGGTCGGATTTTTTTCTCCTTGCGAAGACATTTCTTATGCTATAAGTAGGGTGAGTATTGGGACAATGACTTTGAATATTACGTGACCGATCGCTCGATTTGCCGCCCCCTGGACGTGCCGCCCGCGTGCAGTGCACGCCTTGCACGCCCGCTTACGGCGGGCCTGGGTACCAGAGAATATGCGAAATTTGGTCTAGATCAGTGAAAGTTTGTAGGGGAAATGATGCAAGCAGGAAGGAGTATGAATCCGTTGACAAGGATGTATTTCGTGACAATTGTGACTTTCTTAAGCATTTTATCGTCGATAAGACTCACTCCCACATGTGTACATCTGGAAAGTAACCGAAAGAACTCAATTTATGTAGGTAGATATCTCAAACAACACTAATTCTTCTGTTTAAATAATGGTACGGTAGGATTAATATTAAAACAACGAACACAAAAGTACTATAGGCCTACATACAAAAGTTTAGTTTCATTTAAGGTAAGTAAATTCGCTCCTTATAGATGTACCTGATATAATAGCAGTAGGCTATAATTTTAAGAAACAAACGACTGAGACAATATAAACAAAGCATAAACACAACTACTGAAACCGCACCGATCAAAACCGAAACCGAATAGATGAGATAATAGATTTAAAAAAGTCCACCTTGAATGGAGAAGACAAATTCAGCGCAAAAAAAAAAAAATCGTTCTCGTGCATTTTCCTTTTTAAATATGAAAACAGTGTATAACCTATGTTCACCTGGAAGGATTAAGCTTTCCAACAGCGAAAGAAAAAAATCGGTAGATTATGACATTACCTCTTGCAAACAAACATTCTCGCTTTAGGCCTATATACTAATATAGATATAGATTTAAAAATTAATCTTTAAATTAGATGTTTGCTATGAATATTCTTTCTAACAGTTAATAAATTATAACTTATAAAAATATCCATCAATGAGTTGTTCAACTTTCCTTGCAACATTTAAAACTGCGTGTGTGGCGCCAAAAACGTTTATAGCGGAAAGCAACACGGTGTCCTCCATGGCTCAGATAGTTACGTTTCTCTGTCCATTATGTGGTTTTATGAATGAAAATTTATTATATTTATATTTAGAAGATGCGAAAGCGCACGTTAGTGCATGCGGTGATGTAATTGTCATCTCGAATTTTTTTTTGAATGTTAGCCGGCATTCTAATTTTTTTCGTGATTACATTGAATGCTCTGTCGGCAAGCAATTCGTTTTATGGTTAAATTTCACAATTGAAACTATTCTTTTAACATTTGTTTCTAAAAACGCATATTTTTTTTTAAATCATAGATTCCTCCATTATGATACTATCGATAGTTGCGGGCGCCGCCATCTTTTTCTTTCATTCACCGTGGTTCCTAAATGCCTACAAACAGCAGCTCACTTTCGTAGTAGTGGAGACGTAGAGCGATCGCTATTGACGAATGTACCCCATAAACAGTCACTATATTATTATCACATAGAACGGACAGATTGCATAATAGATAAAATTCAGGCTAAAAGTTCCTATACATCAGGAGACAAAGAATTTCGGAATTTTCAAGAATTATTTAATCTATAAATGTACTTTGTTTTCCTTAACCCATTCGGATTCAATCCAGGGTCGTCAAGAACGGTGGACTTTCGGCTCAACCGCTCGGGCATCACACCGTCTAATTGCTGTAGCAGAAAACCACACAACTCGTCGCCTTTTTAAGCTCAATGCGACCAAAATCCTCCGACAACACGGCGGACAAATTACATCAAACGGAATAGCCGCCTCGACACAAGGTCTTTGGCCTCAACACAGAACCGCCGCTCTAGTTATATTCCTTTTTTTTTTATTTTATATGGAGTTTCAATTATTAACAAAAATCAATGAAAATATTTATAATTAAAAAATATAGTATTAAATATAATTTAAAACAGATATTATTATTATTAATTTTAATAATTCTGATGTATAAACTCCAATTTTAAAATACAGTAATCGTATTGTCAATTGGTTCGAGGATAAAGGAAATAATGGCGTTTACCTTTGCGGCGTTTTGTTATATTGTAGCAATTATATTAACGGCTTTTCTTATATTTTTTGCCGTTTTCCACGTAAGTATTAAGAATTTACAACTTCTATTTAATTAAGCGCAATAATAATAACTTTTTAGGCATTTTACTATAACTTTCTTTTCGAAATTACGATAGCGAGCCGTCTAATAAGATACGTTATTGGTTAATACCGTTTATTCGGTTAACTCCGTAACCAATAAGATTTAAAATTTCGTGATATTTAATATTCTTTATAATTGGATCGTGGATGGATTTTGAATTTAAAATGTTTCGAAATTGACTATTAAACTGTATTTATAACAAAGAAATATCGATTTCTATTTCGGTGCAACCGATTTAATAAAAATCAATGAATGAACTCGACTTTCTAGAAATAATCTCTCCAGATAAGATACGAAGTTTGAAATTAAAATCGATTCGAACTTTTATAAATATTTACGATAAAACAGGAAAACATGCACGTTTTTAAAATATTTAAGTGATTAACCTATCAAAACGATATAAATATATAGACAGTTCAAAAACACTTCATAGACTGGATGTTGTGTGTACCAGTGGCATAGATAGGGGCGGTGTCTAGACTCCACCATTAGTTATTCAGGACTACAATTTTAAAAAAATTATAGACCTATAAATTCCATTGTCTTTCCGTAATCTCGAGAACGGAATTAGATAGGTGAAAAACGAGATCAGATATGGAAATCTTAGGGGCAGGAGGCCCCGATTAACTATATAGGAACTTCCGATGCAAAACCGGAAGTCACGTTGTTCAATTCAAAAATTTTCCCCTGAAAGGTGTTAGATGACCGGCACGACTCTATTGTTAAAGGAAAAGTATGACGCGCGGGAACAAACCACTACTAATTTGAGATAGGGAGCATATATTTTTTAATGAAATAAATTAAAAATACGATTAAAAATTGCAGCCAGCATTGTGACGATGCCACAATAAATAATTGCTCGTTCTAACATAGGGTTCCAGGTGCTTGGGGATAAAATGAATTCTTCCCAAAAGATATTGGAACACTTCAATTGGTGTGTGTTTTTACTCTGCCAGTGACAAAAATACATTTAAAACGTTGAAAAAAAAATAGTTCATTGTATGAACAGTTGTTAGAATAGAGTCTTGGGGGTTGTTCATAAATGACTTCCACACTAGAGGAGGGGGTTATGACGGACAAGGAGAATCTCCAGTGGCCGTCCGGTTTATTTTATTAAATTTTATACAGTTTATGCATTATATTTATTTCAAAATTTCCTATATGCTTCGTTTCTACTTACGTTATCTATCATTTGTAAAGTGATAAAGGTTTTAAGGGTGGTCGAGTTTTGTTGGACTCCGAAGGGGGTTACAGAAAATTGGACAAACTGGTACAAGAGGGTAAGGGGGAGTAAAAATTCCAAGAATGTAACAGATGTAATTTATGGACAGCTCCTCGTCAGTAGATGGCAATTGGAAAAATCTGGGGCACTTTCAGAAAACTGGGGCATCTGGCAACCTTATTAAACAATAATAATAATTAATAAGTGGCTTACATATTTACAGGTTTATTTGTATCAGTCAGTGTTGCTTTGTGCCAAATTTATTTCAAAGTAGAATATTGTGACTTTTTAAATTTTTTTGATATGCCCAAAATTTTGACCCTAAATATTGACCCTATCACAAATTGCCTTATGACTGCTGAGAAACATTTACTACTTATTAACAAAGTTACATACTGTTTATATATTTTTTCTTAATATAAAATAACTTTTACAGATTTTAATGTGTACTTTATATTAAACTATACATATGAGAATAATCACAAATAATCATTTTTTTTAAAATACTGTTCTAATTATAATTATTTAGTTCGTATAACATAACCATCAAAAATTATTGTGACATTATCACAATGTCAGGCTGCAATTTTTTTCATATTTTTTATTTATTTAATTTAAAATATATGCTCTTGATTTAGTAGTGTCTTGCCCCTGTACATCATACTTTTCTTTATAACAGAGTCATGCCATCTAACTCCATTCTGGAGAAAATTTTTGAATTCAAATCGAATGACTTCCCTTCCATACCGGACGTTTGTATATAGTTAGTCGGGACCTCCTGTCCATATGCTTTCCATGTGTGGTCTCAACTTTCGTCTATCTAACTCTGATCTTGAGATTAAGGAAGAGTAGATGGACAGATGCCAGTGGGAATTTATAGGTCTGCAATTTGAAGATTGCAGCTCAAATACAGGTATTAATCTGGATATCAACCAAATTTAATCTTGTAACTTCCTTAGCAGGTACAGTTCTCTGCCAATTTTTTTTAGAGAAAAGAAAAAGCAGAGAACTGTTTGTGTTATCCTGGCTAAGTTCTCCTTCTATATTCCAAACATAGATGGCAAATGAAAAATATATTATGAATATTCATGTAATATTAATATTAATGACAAATTCATACATATAGAATTGAGTGCATGCATGCATGCTTGTGTATGTTTTTATACAGATTTTTTCTTATATGATTTTGATTTAACACAGTTTGAAAAAGAAATTCAATTTCCTTTTTTACCTGATTTGTTTTGAACTAACACATTTCAATATATCTGCCTTTTTACAAAATTTCCATTTGATTTTAATTCTAAGAAAAAATATTCATACTTCCTTTTCTAGAAAATTGCTCTTTTTCAAAAAAGATCTTAGAATTTTCATTTAAGGCTGTTAAATACATTCAAGTAAATTTTAAGATTTGGCTGGTTTTTTTATAACTTATTTTAACATGCATAGTGATAATGGATGCCATTTGAGTGGCATTTCGTATGAAATGGAGTATGCCATTGCTTTGCTTACTTAGCTTGTCCAATCAGTCTTTCATTCTGACTTTATCCTGTAATTGAAATAGTCAGAAAATATTTAATTTGAAGTTTGACCATTTGTTTGTATGATTGCATTTCTTCCAATTTCTTTCAATACAGAATAGTTTTTGTATGCTGTTTGGTATTAAAACCTTAAGATATTTTGGTGTTTAATTGAAAAAGCCAAATAAAAAATAAAATAAAATTTGTATAAATAATATAAATTAGTTTGTTAACTACATTGTTATTTTAAAGTGGAGCTGAAGTTGTTCTTTTAAAAGAACAAAAACATTTCTAAATAAAATAAGTTTGGTATACTGTAGTAAATATTATTATTATTAATATAATATAAATTAAGTTTTCTGATAAGTATGTTACAACTACCCCTTTTATTTATTAACTAAAATTATTTTGTTTACCCACATCCTATATTAGTTGATTTATTGTATTATTATTACAGTCTGGAATCAATCTTCCATTTTTCCATATAGTAGAATCTTTTTTTCATGTGAATTTTTTTGGAACATATCTACCATGTAAGAACAGAGTTGAATGTAGAGGATAGCCTACGGTAATTGTAAATTTCTCTATCACTGTACAGCACATTTTGAAAATCTGGTGCATACTAAAAGTATAAGGAGCACTTTATGAAGGTCTTCATTATGGTCCTATGCTTGTATTCCATAGAAACTGAAAAATCTGGCATTTACAATTATCCTAGACTCAAAACAGGAAGGGATAACTGTAAATAGTATTTATAAATACAAATATGATAGCAGTCTATTTTATAGTGACAGTCACATATAGTAACTTAGCATCTGATACAGACTTTCATTTTAGAATGTCTCAAACATACACACATGAAGGAATCTTTTTTAAATTTAATATTTTATCTTGTTAGGTATGAAAGTACAGGTGAAAATACAATTAGAATTATTAATGGCAATTGTATTTTCACATGTAAGTGTATTTTTGATAATTCACAAGTCAAATTCTCATCAGCAAGGGTTTGGAACTTTAGATACGGAAAGAAAGGGAAAAAATGCATTGGATTTTAATTAGACAAAATATTAAATTTATAACCACTGCAAAATAAGAGAAAATGAAAAATATTGTATTCAATTAATTTTAATAAATTATTTTTATATATATTTTTAAAAAACAAATGAAAGGAGAATTGAACCCAAGTCAGAAACTGCAGGTGTTACCAATGTCTCAGTTAGCCTTAAGCTTTTCAGGCAAACTATTTATTAATTATGGATTTATTTCTTTTCAAGTTTTCTCCTTGTGTATTCACACAAAGAGCTTTACATGCTTATAATTATCATCATGTAGATATCTACATGATGATAATTACATGATCACTGATTAGTAACTATTTGTGATCTACATGAATAATTACTGATTTTATTGAGAAGTGTACATATCAACTTGTAGCCTTCCCTTGTTAGTCTAACTTTTATAGGTTAAAAACAAGTTTTGTATCAAATCATTTCATTTGAGTATACTCTGATGTTTATCAATGCAGGTTTCTTGTCTGCTTTTCATCTGTTTGGTGAAATAAAATTACCTAATTTTTATCATTTGCATCTCAAAGATTTATGTTCATTTATAATTTCCCCTGCCACACAGAGTCCTAAGCACAAAGACTGAGGGATTTACAATTAACCCTCATAGTATTTATATTTATCCCACCTCAGTGGAGTAAATTTAAATTTGGATTTCTTTTATCATCTTTACTAAAACAGCCTGTTAGGGATAATTGTAAATAAATGTGTGATTAGTATTAGTTTTGTAACAAAGCCACTAAAAAGGAAATAACCAGCTGTGCTTTCTTAAGCTTCAGAAAATTGTAAACATTAGGAAATCAATACCAACGTTTACTATTATCCCACTCAACCCTACATAAAATCAATATAGAATAACTGGTAATTGAAAATATTTTTTTGGCTAGTTTTTAGACCAATATTTTTTAAATTTGATTTTTAGAATAATCAAAAAATAAAGAATTAAATTAATAATTAAAATATCTTGAACAAACAAATATTCATTTTGGCTTTTGTTGTACTCAAAATCCAGATATTTATCATAGTAAGATAGAGATTGTTTCTAGAATATTATTTTTATGCTAAGATTAAATTAATTTTAGCTTGAAAGTAATTTCACTTTTATGTATACATGATGACAAATATTCGTTAATAC